GCAGGGGAAGTTGCGGCGTGCGAGGACGGGTGTCAGGAAACAGTGCGGCGGGCTGCCAGGCTCGATAGTCTGGCTTCCTTGAACAATCGGCTCGGACTGGGCCCCTGGACCCCTCACGGGGTCCAGTCGGGTCGGGCGCTTTCCAGCCGGATCGTTTTTGAGGTCCACGGGGGCCGACGAGATGGGGTGAGGGGCTTCTGCGGCCCAACAAATTTACGAATCGACACCGAACGTGTAATCACTTCCGATGGTTTTTTCGAGGAGCCATTTTTCTGATTGTGGGGCCTAGTTGGACGGACCGAACACCATATCGTGGCATGGCGCTGGAAATAATGACGCCAGCGCTGCAGCGGGATCTTGATTCAGAACGAGCGGAAGCGCGGAAACGAGGCCACCGCTGCAGCGGGAACACGATTCGGAGGACGCGTAGCCTGACATAGTTAGCATGGCGTGGCGACGCCCAAAAGTGGGGGGGGGGCTTCTGCGGCCCAAAGAATCAACGAATCGACGCCGAATGTGGAATCGCCTCCGATGGTGTTTTCTGAGAGCCATTTTTTCCCAACCATCCTGTGGTGTTGGGTCCTCGTTTTGAAGAGGCGGCGCCCCGCGGTCTCCTCCTCCTCCTCCCCCTCCTCCCTCTTCCCCCTCCTCCCCCTTCTCCTTCCTCCTTGCGTTTCACCCACCCAGATAAGCGCTTCGTGGCCCCATAGGTAGCTCCACTGAAGGCCCCAGTGCCAACGCCCGCATGCGTCACCCACACCCATGTCGTCACACCCCTCATACGTGTCGCGGCCCCATAGGGAGCTCCACCGAAGGCCCCAGTGCCAATGCCCGCATGCGTCACCCACACCAATTTCGTCACACCTCTCACACGTTTCGTGGCCCCATAGGGAGCTCAACAGAAGGCCCCAGTGCCACCGCCCGCATGCGTCACCCACACCCGTGTCGTCACACCCCTCACACGTTTCGCAGCCCCGTAGGGAGCTCCACCGAAGGCCCCAGTGCCACATGCGCACCCATGTCGTCACACCCCTCACACGCTTCGTGGCCCCATAGGGAGCTCCACCGAAGGCCACAGTGCCATTGCCCGCATGCGTCACCCACACTCATTCCGGCACACATCTCACACGTTTCATGGCCCCTTAGGGAGCTCCAACGAAGGCCCCAGTACCACCGCCCGCATGCGTCATCCACACTGATTTTGGGACACCCCTCACGCGTTTCGTGGCCCCATAGGGAGCTCCACCGAAGGCCCTATTGCCACCACCCGCATGCGTCACCCATTCCGCCACACCCCTCACACGCTTCGTGGCCCCATAGGGAGCTCCACCGAAGGCCCCAGTGCCACCGCCCGCATGCGTCACCCACACCGATGTCGTCACACCCCTCACACGTTTCGTGACCATATAGGGAGCTCCAGCGAAGGCCCCGGTGCTACCGCCCGCATGCGTCACCCACGCCCACTCTGGCACACCCCTCTCGCGTTTCGTGGCCCAATGGGGAGCGCCACCGAAGGCGCCAGTGCCACCGCCCGCATGCGTCACCCACACCCATTTCGTCACACCCCTCACACGTTTCGTGGCCCCATAGGGAGCTCCAGCGAAGGCCCCCGTGCCACCGCCCACATGCGTCCCCCACGCACATTTCGGCACGCCCCTCACGCGCTTCGTGACCCCATAGGGAGCAGGCGCCAGTGGCTGCGTTCGCATGCGCCCTCCGCACCCATTTCGGCACACCCATCACACGCTTCGTGGCCCCATAGGGAGCTCGACGGCCCCAGTCGCTGCGTTCGCATGCGCCCACCGCACCGATCTCGGCACACATCTCACGCGTTTCGTGACCCCATAGGGAATTCCACCGACGGTCCAAGTGGCTGCTTTCGCATGCGCCCACCGGACAAATTTTGGCACACAGACACACCCCTCACACGTTTCGTGGCCCTATAAGGAGCTCCTCCAAATGCGGTGCATACAACGACGGTGCTTACAACTGCATATGGTTGGGTCCTTCGCCAGGCTAATTGGTTGTGGGGTTGATTTGGAAGGACCGTAAACCATACCGTGGCATGGCGCCGGAAATAATGACGCCAGCGCTGCAGCGGGAGCACGATTCGGAACGAGCGGAAGCGCGGAAATGAGGCCAGCACTGCAGCGGGAGCACGATTCGGAACGAGCGGGAGCCCGAAAATTAGGCCAGCGCATCAGCGAGAGCAGCATTTTGAAAAATTAGCTTGGCGAAGGACCCAACCATATTCAGCTGTGAGCACCGTCGTTATATGCACCTCATTCGGAGGAGCTCTTTATAGGGCCACGAAACGTGTGAGGAGTGTCCCAAATATTGTCCGGCGGGCGCATGCGAAAGCAGCCACTTGGGCCGTCGGTGGCATTCCCTATGGGCCACGAAGCGCGTGAGAGGTACGCCGAAATAGGTGCTGTGGGCGCATGCGAACGCAGCCACTGGGACCGTGCCGAAATGGGTGCGGTGGGCGCTTGCGCACGCAGCCACTGGCGCCTTCGGTCGAGCTCCCTATGGGGCCACGAAACGCGTGAGGGGTGTGCCGAAACGTGAGTGGGTGACGCATGCAGGCGGTGGCAGTTGGGCCTTCGGTGGAGCTCCCTCCCTATGGGACCACGAAACGTGTGAGGGGTGTGACGACATGGGTGTGGGTGACGCATGCGGGCGGTGGCACTGGCGCCTCTGATGGAGCTCCCTATGGGGCCACTCGTGAGGGGTGTGTTGGAATGGGCGTGGGTGACGGACGCATGCGGGCGGTGGCACCGGGACCTTCGTTGGAGCTCCCTAGGGAGCCGCGAAACGTGTGAGGGGTGTGACGAAATGGGTGTGGGTGACGCATGCGGGAGGGATGTGCCGAAATGGGTGTGGGTGACGCATGCAGTCGGTGGCACTGTGGCCTTCGGTGGAGCTGCCTATGGGGCCACGAAGCATGTGAGGGGTGTGCCGAAATTGGTGTGCGTGACGCATGCGGGCGGTGGCACTGGGGCCGTCGGTGGAGCTCCCTATGGGGCCACGAAACGTGTGAGGGGAGAGCCGAAATGGGTGTGGGTGACGCATACGGGCGGTGGCAATGGGGCATTCCGTGGAGCTCCCTATGCGGCCGCGAAGCGTGTGAGGGGTGTGACGACATGGGTGTGGGTGACGCATGCGGGCGGTGGCACTGGGGCCTTCTGTGGAGCTCACTATGGGGCCACGAAGCGTGTGAGGGATGTGACGACATGGGTGTGGGTGACGCATGCGGGCGGTGGCAATGGGGTCTTCGGTGGTGCTCCCTATGGGGCCACGCTACGCTGTACTGGGTGGGTGAAGCGCAAGGAGGAAGGAGGATGGGGAGGAGGGGGAGGAGGAGGAGGGAGGATGGAGGAGGAGGAAGGAAGGAAGGAAGAAGGAGGAGACGCGGGGCGCTGTCTCTTCAAAACGAAGACCTAACACCACAGGATGGTTGGGAACAACTCGAGCGAAACTCCGTTTTCCAGGAATCCTGTGTAAATTAGTTTGGCGAAGGACCCAACCATGTGCAGTTGTGAGTAAAGTTGTTGTACTCACCGTATGCGGAGGAGCTCCTCATAGGGCCACGGAACGTGTGAGGAGTGTCCCACAATTTGTCCAGTGGGCGCATGCGAAAGCAGCCGCTTGGGCCGTCGGTGATATTCCTTATGGGGCTACGAAACGCGTGAGAGGTGTGCCGAAATAGGTGCGGTGGGCGCATGCGAAGGCAGCCACTGGGGCCGTGCCGAAATGGGTGCGGTGGGCGCATGCGAACGCAGCCGCTGGCGCCTTCGGTCGGTATGGGGCCACGAAAGGTGTGAGGGTGTCACGAAATAGGTGTGGGTGACGCATGCGGGCGGTGGCACTGGGGCCTTCGGTGGAGCTGCCTATGGGGCCACGAAGCGTGTGAGGGGTGTAGCGAAGTGGGTGTGGGTGACGCATGCGGGCGGTGGCACAGTGGCCTTCGGTAAAGCTCCCAATGGGGCCACGAAACGCAGATGTGCCGAAATGCGTGTGGGTGACGCATGCGGGGGGGTGCCTTGGGGCTTTCGGTGGAGCCCCCTATGGGGCCACGAAGCGTGTGAGGGGTGTGACGAAACGGGTTTGGGTGACGCATGCGGGCGGTGGCACCCGGGCCTTCGGTGGAGCTCCCCAGTGGGCCACGAAACGCGTGAGGGGTGTGCCGGAATGGGCGTGGGTGACGCATGCAGGCGGTGGCACCCGGGCCTTCGGTGGAGCTCCCTATGGGGCCACGAAACGTGTGAGGGGGTGTGCCGAAATGTGTGTGGGTGACGCATGCGGGCGGTGGCAGTGGAGCCTTCGGTGGAGCTCCCTTTGGGGCCACGAAACGTGTGAGGGGTGTGCCGAAATGGGTGTGGGTGACGCATGCGGGCGGTGGCACTGGGGCCTTCGGTGGAGCTCCCTATGGGGCCACGAAACGTGTGAGGGGTGTGACGACATGGGTGTTGGTGACGCATGCGGGCGGTGGCACTGGGGCCTTCGGTGGAGCTCCATGTGGGGCGACGAAACGTGTGAGTGGTGTGCCGAAATGGGTGTGGGTGGCTCATGCGGGCGGTGACACTGGGACCTTCGGTGGAGCTCCCTTTGGGGCCACGAAACGCTGTCATGGGTGGATGAAACGCAAGGAGGAGGGAGGAGGGGGAGGAGGGAGGATGAAGGAAGGAGACGCGGGGACCGTCTCTTCAAAACGATGACCCAGTACCACAGGATGGTTGGGCAAAAACCAGTGCGCGGAGGGGGGCCGGATATTCCCCGGACATCACCAGGGGAGAGAGGAGAGTAGTATTCATATGGTGCAATCGTGGAGGAGGGGAGGAGAAGGAGGAGAAGGAGGAGGAGGAGGAGGAGGAGGAGGAGAAGGATTAGGAGGAGGATTAGTAGGAGGAGGGGTAGAAGGAGGAGGAGGAGGAGGAGGAGGAGGAGGAGGAGGAGGAGGAAGGTCCCGCCAGACGCCCGGGCCCGCCGCCTGCCCCGAGGCGGTGGACGCCAGCAGCCTGCAGGAGGACTCCTTCGAGGCGCTCACGCCCTCGTCCGCGCCGGGCTCCCCGCGTGAGGGGGCGGCCTCCCCGCGCAGCGGCGCCGCGCCGCCCGCGGCCGTTTCGGCGGCCTCGGAGGGCGCCGGGCTGGCGGAGGGCTCGGCCGAGGCCGCCGGCGTCCAGGAGCGCTCGGTGGCAGAGGAGGGCCCGTCGTCGGAGGATTGGGACAATCAGAATAGGTACCTTCGGAAAGAAGGGACACGATGCCCAACAGCAGTTCCTGTTCCCTTCGAGCAAGGCTCGCTGTCCGCGCCGCCGCGGGGGCTGTCCCTCGAAGACAAAAAAGCCGCCTGTCCAACAGCGGCCGCTGTCGGTTTGGGACAACCTTTGTTGTTGGGCACTGTGCACCTTTTTTCCGTACCCATCTCGGGCGTCCAGAATCCAGGAGCGCCCAGTGGCCGAGGAGGGCTCGTCGGCAGAGGAGGGCCCGCCGCAGATCGCCGTGGTGCCCGCAGAGGATCGACGAAGAAAAAACACCATAAACATATGTGTTTCGCGCTCCGCGCGGATTTCTTGGCTCTGGCGCCGCCACCGGCGCGCTCCGCGCGCCAGGGAGGGGGGTCTGGCGCGGATCCAAGAAATCCGCGCGGACCAGCGAAAATGTATGTTCATGCCGTGTTATGTTTTTCTAGAGGAGGGCCCGTCGGCGGAGGAAGGCCCGCCGCCTCAGATCTCGGTGGTGCCCGCAGAGGAGGGGCTCGAGTGGCTCAAGAAGGCGGCCGGGCGGGGGGCTTGAGCAAGACTTGCTCGGAAGGTTTTTGGGATGCGATGGCCCGTTCGGCTTCTGCCGCGGAGCCGTTGCCACGGGAGTGTGCTACAAACGGAAGCGAGTTCCAGCGGAGAGTGGAAAGATCGCCGCTCCGGCATTCAGGCTGACTCTGGCCCTCATCTTGGATAAATTCTATGTCGATTGCATCGTGATCTCCATCATCACTTCGCTGCTCATCTAAGTGAGGGGGGCGGCGGGGGAGGGGTACGCCCCCCTCTTGGACGCCCCCGAGTTGCAGGGGGGGGGGGGCCCTCGCAGCATGTCCGCCCCGTGACGAGTGCCAGCCACCCTAGAGGGCTTGCAGTCCGGGTGCGGGGGCGCAAAGGGGAGGTTGGGTGTCGAGTACTGGGGGGGCGATGAATAGGGGGGGGGAGATGAATGGGGGGGCAGCGAGAGCTGCAGAAAGGTGCCCGTCTTTGCCCCTCCAATGCCGTTATAATGGCCCAAAACAGAGACTCTGGCCCCAAATGTACACCTGTCCCCCCCCCCCACTTGCCCCCTATCAAGCGACGCCCACGGAGGGGAGGAGGAGGCGGAGGAGGAGGAGGAGGAGGAGGAGGAGGAGGAGGAGGAGAGGAGAGAGCGAGGAGGAGGAGGAGCGAGGAGGACCGAAGAGGAGCCAGGAGGAGCCAGGAGGAGCCAGGAGGACCCAGGAGGAGCAGGAGGAGCGAGGAGGAGCGAGAGGAGCGAGAAGGAGGCGCGAGGAGGAGGAGGAGGGAGGAGAGGAGGAGGAGGGAGGAGGAGGGAGGAGGAGGAGGAGGAGGAGCGAGGAGCGAGGAGCGAGGAGCGAGGAGCGAGGAGCGAGGAACGAGGAGGTGGTGGAGGAGGAGGAGGAGGAGCAGGAGGATGAGGAGGAGGAGGTGGAGGAGGAGGAGGAGGAGGAGGAGGAGCAGGAGGAGGAGGAGGAGGAGGAGGAGGAGAGGAGGAGGGGGGGCCCCGCTGAAGGATTCCGATGGCTCTCCCTCGAGGCGTGTGCGGTTTGGCCCGGTGTATGGCGGCGGGCCTCCTGGAGCCGATCGGCCCTCAGGGCGTGTGCGGGTGCCAGATGCGCGGCAGCGGGCCTTCTGGATCCGATGGCCCTCGGGGCGTGTGCGGTTTGGCCCAGTGTGTGGCGGCGGGCCTCCCGGAGCCGATCGGCCCTAAGGGCGTGTGCGGGTGCCCAGTGTGTGCTTGCCCGCTCGGTGTGCTTCCCCCACTGCCTTGGCATCGCTCGGGCGTGGACATTTTCTCGCGGCTAGGACCCTCGAGGAGCAGTTTGGGCCGCCTGGCGAAACATGCACGCACGAAGCCGAAACATGCACGGGGGATCGACGCTCGAGCAATGGCCAGCTGCGTGGGTGCACGATCCGACGATCCTCGGGGCGTTCGCTTGCCCTGCGTGTGCTTCCCCCAGGACGTGTGCACTTGTTCTCGGCTAAGAGCCTCGAAGAGTCTTAGGGCCGTCTGGCGAAACAGATACGCGCGCGAAAAACCGAAACTCGTAGGGAAGGGGCGCCCGAGCGATGGCAAGCTGCGTGGGTGCACCATCCGACGATCCTCGGGGCGTTCGCTTGCCCAGCGTGTGCTTCCCCCGCTGGGTCTTGCACCGCGTGGGTTTTTCTCGCTGGTCGGGGGGGTGGCCAGCCTTGGCCCAGGTGCAGTGTGACCCCACGTCGCGGCGACCGGGCAGTGTTGGTAGTCCGCCGCCGACGACACGCAGCCCGCGTCGGCCTTCATTGCCCCCGTCGACAAAAAGGTTGCACCACTTTGCGTTGTTCTTCGCACGCATGCTTCCACCCTTCTCCCCCCCCAATCGATGATTGGGGGCATGCGAGAAGGAGCCCCTCCGGATTTGCCGGGCGCCGACAGAATTTTGCACCACCGAGCTGTTTCGGCGATCCCGGCCCGTAGCCAATATGAGGCTGAGGGGAGGGGTGGGGGGAGCGAGCACGAAACGTCGATTGCACAACGACGTCTGATGTTGCGGCTGGTGCAACATTTTGTCGACGTGCCGGTGCGCCGCCTGCGTCGCTTCGAAGGGCTTCGGTGGACGAATCACACCTTGGCGCCAGCACGTGGTGTGAGGATCATCGGCTCATGCAGAGGGTCGGGGGCGGCCGAGAGGGGGTGATAGGGGGTGATGACTAGGGGGCGGGGGGGGATATCATGGCGGGGGCCATGAGAACTCCCCAGATTTCGCGGCGCCTCTCCTCATTTCCGCACGCCCCCTGGTTCCCCCCCTGGGCCGCGCACACGCCGCCGGCCATGATCTGCGCCCCCCCCTCTTGGACACCCCCCTCCTGGCCGCGCCCGAGGAAAGGTGCCCGAGTGAGAGGCGACCTGAGGGCCCAGCGCGGGCCTCGCGAGGCCATTGCAAAAATGGCCAGTCCCAGGGAAGCCCCTCGGGACCTCCCTCCCTGATTCTAAGGGCTTCGACTGTGAGCACCTACCACCCCTCTTGGAAGCCCCCCCCCCTCTTGGACGCCCCCCCTTCGACGCCCACTTCTTGGACGCTCTTGGACGCCCTCCTCTTGGGCGCCCCCCTCTTGGCCGCCCGAGGGAGAGGGAGAGGGGGGGCCTCTTGCAAGGCCGCGCCCCTCGCCCCCAGCGGGCGCCGCCGGCTCAGCCGAGAAAGAGCGACAGCCCCCTCTCCCCCCTCATGGAGCAGGTCTTGGCTGTTTTTTGGCTCCTGTTTCGAGCGGGTGGAGTCTCCCCCATAATGGACACACTGCTGCCAACAGTCGCACTATGCAGAGGTCTGGAGCCAGACCCCCCCTCCTCCCCCCCTTGCCGCCCAATGTCGAAACGCCGAAATTAAAAAAACGCTCACATTGAGAGTGACCTTTCGCCGGAGTGACCTTTGGTGCGGGACACGGGGGTCCCCCGATCGCCGATCGCGCCTTGCGCGCTTGTGTGTGGTCCCCCCGCGGCCCCGAGAAATCCGCGCACCAAAGGTCACTCTTACCCAGAGTCACTCTTGCGTGAAGCCGAACAAGCTCTCGGAGGTCCGCGCGGACTTCTTGAATCGGCGGCGCCGCACCCCTCCCTGGCGCGCGGAGCGCGCCTTGGGGCGGTGCTTTGGCGGTGCCGCCATAGCGGGGGCACTAGCGCCGACCCAGCGTATCAGGAGAGCCGCGTTGACCTCCGAAAGTTGACGTTCATGTCAGCCCTGCGATCCTGCGATCCGACATAGTGCAACATCGTAAAAAGATCACGCCCGGAGCCCTATAGACCCGATCGTTCTGCTCCATTTGTCGAGCCGCATCGCTCTGGGAGGGTCCCAGGGGTCCAGAAAAAATGGCGAAAACGCCCAGCTCGAAAACAATGAATCGCCAGGATATCAGGGAGTACGCTCCGCGCGGGTTTCTTGGATCCGCGCTGGGCCCCACTGGCGGCGCCCCTGGCGCGCTCCGCGCGCCAGGGAGGGGTGTCCAGCGCAAATCCAAGAAACCTGCGCGGAGCGCCATAAGTCAAGGGAGGAAAAACCATCCGGACCGGACAATTGGCGTTTACTAAACGGCCCTGGGCGTTTACTAAACAGCCCTACCCTGTCTGATTCCTTCTGTGGGTGCGTTTACTAAACGGCTTCGCGTGTCGGGTTGGTTATTATCGGGGTGGATTTTCGACCCTCTAATCAGTTTATGCTTATGGCGCTTTTTCCTTATAAGTTTGAGTTTATGTTTATGGCGTTTTTTCGGCTTCTAAGTTTGCCTGATTCCACCGAGGCTGTGTCCTGCACGTCCCTCAGCGAGTGCTTCTGAGAGCGGCGCCGCCGCGCGGCCGGCCGAAGGAGGGAGGTCTATTTGCGGCCAGGGTTCAGTCGGGCCTGTCTCTCTGCAAAAGGAATACTCAAGAATAGTCAAAGCATAATCTGGGGAAGATTTCTCGTGCTCGTTTTTGATTATTCTGTATATTTGTTGAGTATTTTTTACTTGTCTTATAACATCCGCCTGTAGGGGGACATGCCCGACCCAAGGCCAGGGCCAGGGATGGCTGGAGCTCTGGGCGGGTGCGCATGCGCCGCGGCATGGCGGCTGCGAGGGGCGGGAGAGCCCGTGCACCAGCTCGCCAGTCCCTCAGGCGGCAAGTGCCTCGACAAAACCAGGGCGGGGGTTTCTGTCGTCGCTTCCCGGCATCCAGGGGCCCTCGCCGGGCCCCGCTAGAGGGGAATCAACCAAAGATTCGGGACGACACATCGCCCCTTGGCAAGAGGTCAAAACTTTGCCCCCCCTTCCATATAGCCAAAATCAGGGTATCAGGCGTCTGGGAAACACGACGTGCCAATGGCACGGCCGGAGCCAGTAAATCCCATGTTCTGTTTGCGGTCTTTCTCAAGCTGGCTCGATCCGTGATGGTCTCGGGACCGTCGTCGTCCGCGATCATGCCGCACATGCAACGACTGATCAGGACAGAGGGTCCGTTCATTATCTTCCATCGTCGCTGTGCCATTGTCCTGCAATTAGGCTCCACTGGAGGCCTGACCGCTGGGGCTTGTGGGGCGGGCGGGCGGACTGGCGCAGAGTTCTTTAAACTGCCATGTCCAACTTGTCGAGTGGGTCAGGGCAGGCCCCAGGCTCAATCCTCCTCCTCCTCCTCCTCCTCCTCCTCCCCCTCCAAGACGTTTTGGGACGCTCGCTCCTCCTCCCCCTCCTCCTCCTCCTCCTCCTCCTCCTCCTCCTCCTCCTCCTCCTCCTCCTCCTCCCCCTCCTCCCCCTCCTCCTCCTCCAAACGTCTCAGCAGGTCCCCAGGAGTGCCCCGACTGGCCCCCTTTTTGGGTATGGTTTCTGTTTGTCCTACAAGATTCGTCTGTGGGAGGACATGTCCTACCTAAGGCCAGGCCCTCCTCTCACGCATGGCACACCGCGAGAAAGTTAAGTCAGGCGCAGTGCGGAATGACTTCTTCGGAGCAGGGGCGCAGAGGCAGGCTGAGCTCCCCGATCACTCGTGGGCCACGACCTGCGCAAGTGGTGTGCCGAAGTGGTTCTAGGGACCCCAGGCGAAGACTTCCGCGGAGGCCGCACGTGGAGCTCCGCGCGATCCTCGTCTGCGCGCGGTGTGCCGTCGTGGGCGAGGGCCCAGGCACGGGCGTTGCCACTCGGGGCCAGAGGTGGAGCTCCCTGCAGGGGGGCCACCGTCCCCGTGGGGGATGTCCTGGGATGGGCGCGGGCCAGCATGCGGGCGCTCCCACGGGGAAGTGCCACAGGGGCAGCCCCCTGGTGGGCCCACACTCTTCCCGCGGGGTGGGTTTGTGTGTGCGCGCGCGCGTGTGTGTGTGTGTGTGTGTGTGTGTGTGTGTGTGTGTGTGTGTGTGTGTGTGTGTGTCGCGAAACGGTCTTCCCACTCTTGCACGCTGGCCGATCCGTTTTTCGGTGGCCCCGTCTAGCTCTTTCGCTGGTGCAGCCAATTCTGCCTCGCCGCCGACGGAAAAGAGTGTTTGCCGAAACGGGCGCTGGCCTGGGGCTGCGATCCATGTGAGGGGTGTGCCGAAAGTGGGCGCGTGCCCGCATGGGCGACCGAAAACGGTGTCATCTTCGCAGAACTTGGCGCGCAAGCTGCCCGCGTACGGTCGCGCGTGAGCGCCCTCGTTTCCAATGTAGCGTGCCGCGTTGGCGGCCCGCGTAGGCCGCGGCGCAAGGTCGCCATGCCATGTCGCGTGAGATTTTTTTGTCGCTCAAATCCGCACGCTTTGCATCACGGCCGCGGGTGCAACTGCCGATGGCATGGGGCCTCGATCCGCTTGCGGGGTGTGCCGACGTGGGCGTGGGCATCAGCGGCAGGGCGCGGAGGTTGGGGCACGGGGGAGAAGAGGGAGGAGCTGGGGCGCGACGCTGCGCATGTCAGAAGGGGTCCCAACTCCACAGGAAGGCTGTGATATTTGTTACACGATGCCCACCCCAATCTGTGTTTCGTGCTACGCCCCGCTGTTGGCCAGCCACTTTCAGTTCGCACGCGAGGATGAAGAGTTGCGGAGTGGGGGAAGGCGGCAGTCAACCCCTCCCCGTATGGGGAAGTGATTGTTCGGGAAGAGCTGATACCTTAAACTGTAAACTCCTAGAGGTCTGGTGGGACCCATGAACAAGCAGTCTCCATGCCACTGCGTTTCGCTTAGCTTCGCAAGGGCTGGAGTTTTAGCTGACCGCGCTCCTCGATGCGGTGAATGCTCAAGTTTGGGTCACGTCCACCCGTGAACTTGGCGCGACCCCAGCCAGGGGCGTCCGATTGTCGTTAGGGAAGTCGCCCAGGCAAGTTGCACTCAAGCTGAAGGCGCTAGATGAAACAAATATGAAAAGGCAACCCACACAACGTGCAACACATACTTACGCATGCCGACATATTTTCCTCTTGAGCCCGAAATGTCGGAAGCGCCGCGCCGTTCGGGTGAGCGGATACATGTAGCGCTCTCGTTGGCTTGGGGCGTGCCATATTCCATGCGAGGAGATGCGGGAGTTGGCCGGACCCGCTGTAGACCCCCCCCCCTCTCCCGTAAAATCGCAGCTCTGGTCAGCAGATCCACAGTTCCGTGGATAGCATGATGCTTCACGCGCGGTGCCCCGCGGATCGAATTCCCCTTGGGTCCGGGATGTTAACTATTAGTATTCTTATTATATACTTATTCCCGGAAAATCTATGAATCAATTGGCTTTCGCACGGGAAGTTGGATCCATACAAGACAGACATAGGATCCACGACACTGTCGCACACCCAAGAAAAGGATCCAATTGAATCCATCGGCGTATATTTTAGTCCACAAGGAAAAACTTTCGGCCTGGGTATGTACATGCAAGCCCACATGCGGCCTGAATGCATAGTATAGGGCATGAAACTAACATCATGTTGCATGTGTCCAGGCGGAATGCAAAGTAACCGCGGCTGAATAATGCGACAGCAGAGCAATTCTCAAGCTGAAAGCGTGCCATATGCAAAGGAAAGGCACTGTAAGGATGCCATATATATATATATATGTATAGTTATGGCCATGGACCCCCAAGGAAGGCGGGGGGCAAGAGGGGTGGGGTAAACTTGCAGCCGCGCCGCGCATCAAGGAGGGACCTGTTAGGCGAAGCCTAAATTGTGCGACAAGTTCGGATAGGGGGACTGGCAGAGATGTTGTTCAAGCCGCAGCGACGCACGTCTCACTCATCAAGCCGCAGCGACGCACGTTTCACTCAGCATTTTTAGTGCGCGGTCTGGCTTCCTGCCCTGTGCCACGCCGCTGCGCACCCAGCTGCACGCACGTAGAGCCATGAGCACTGGGCCCTGCTGCTTCCAGTCTGCCCGGGGCTGAGTGTGGAGGCAAGGCAAGCAGGAGTGGAGCGGCGGGTCCAGGCCCCCCGGCCCTCTCAGACACGTGGGGTGTCCCAGAAAGAGCCGCGCCTTCACGGGAGGGATCGGTCAGTTCCAATTTTTTTTGCGGAAGGTGGCGGAAGGCCATCGCAATCTGAGGAAAGTGCAAAAGATATTCCCCCCCTAAGATAGTTGGCAGCATGTGGGGTCAGGGTTTACGGAGCCAGCTCACGTGATTCGCCTCGATGCGTGATAGGTTCACTCTCGCTTGCCTGACTCCTGAAGTGGGTCACCCCGCGGCAACAGTGGCGGCACTGCCCGCCACTCGAGCGGCGTTCCTTGCGGGCCTGCGGGCGCGCAGCGCGAGGCACCCGACCTATCATGTGGGGGGTGCCCGCTGGCGCCGAGAGCACGCCCCGACGCCCGCCCGCGGCCGGCTGACGACTTGTTGCCTGGACGTGGACGCTGGCACGCCTGCTCGCGTGCCGCCGCCCTCGCCAGGGGACTGGAGCGGGCCGCAGCGCGAAGCGGCCTGCTGCGAGCCCGCCCGCGCCCGAAAAGAAGAGCGTGGCGAGGGGCCCGGCAGAGCTCCGGGCGGGAAGGTCTGGCCCATGTTCCACCATGAAGGAGATCGGGGGCGGCCAAGAGGGGGGTGATGACTAGGGAGGGGGTGGATATCATGGTGGGGGATACCATATCTCCCCAGACTTCATGGCGCCTCTTCTTCTTTTAGTATGTCCCTGGCCTCCCCCCATGGGCCGCGCACGTGCCGCCGGCCATGGTTTGCGCCCCCCCTTCTTGGCCGCCCCCCTCTCGGCCGCCCCCGAGGCAAAGGTGCCTGAGGGAGAGGCGTCCTGAGGGCCCAGCGCGGGCCTCGCGAGGCCATTGCAAAAAGTGGCCAGTCCCAGGAAAGTCCCTCGGGACCCCTCTCCCTCATGCCAATGGCATCGACTGTGAGCACTTGCCACCTGTAGGTAGGGGTTAAGCCGCGGTTCCGAATCAGGAGTATCTCGAGCCCGCTTGGCGCCCCCCAGAGAAGCTGCAGTCTTTGTGGAAGCATTCGGTGACGACTCGTTAGGGTGGCGCCGCTTCCGCATGTTTGATGTTGCGGTTGGACCCTCTAGGCTTTCAGCGCGGAAAGCGTGAAGGTGCAGTGGAAGAGAAAAGGAGGACGGCGTGGAGGATGACGACGTCGATGAAGGTGTCTTTCAAGCGTTATGTGGATTGTGTAAGTGGCAGGCGGAGAGAGAGCGAGAGAAAGCGAGAAAGAGAGAGGGACAGAGAGAGAGAGAGAGAGCGAGTGGGATGTTCTGAGAGAGAGAGAGAGGGAGGGAGGCGTCTGATATGCTGCTTAGCTTAACGAATTTCAACGCGCCAGAGGTAAGCGTCACAACCAACAACGCCCAAACACCGCCTTGCATTTTTACATAATCCGAAAGCTAAAATCCAACAATCCCTTGGTCGAGCAGGGGGTCACCGGGGAGGCAAAAGGGAGGCAGTGAGAGCAGAGGGAGAGTGAGAGACAGAGAGAGATGATAATGAGAGAGAGGGGGGAAATGAGTTTGAATTTCATACATATATACACAGAGAGAGAGAGCAAACGAACCATCTAAGGGTGAGCTAGAGACCAGATCATGGTAGCAAAGAGACTGACGCGTCGATGGAGTCACTGGGAAGAGGACAGACTGTCAAACGATGAGACTGAGAGAGAGGCCAGTTAGCAGACCGAGAAAAAGAGAAAGAGAGAGATGTTTAACGGAAGGGGCATAGAGAGAGAGAAAGAAAGAAACAACAAAAGAGATATAGCGAGCGAGAGAGAGCAGGGAGTGCAGACACAGAGAGAGAGAGAGATCACAGGTGTGTAGGTGTGCACCGGAAGGAGGAGGAGAGAACAACACGCTGATCGTGATACATTCATATGTATGCACACACTTTTCTACACATCAAACTAGTGGGAACTACTTAGTGCCATGCACCTACATTTTCATACAGCAAGATGGATACATACACGTGCAGGGAGGACACCCACACGTATGCATGTATACATGTATAAACACATAGTTGTTGTAACGTACCATGTCCGTTCTACAAGAGTGTATATATATATATACACATACACACCTGTGAGCCAATCATTGTTGTGCATGCAAATACACATATGCGACGCCTACGACGAACCACCGACGACCCCTCCATCTGAAAATCACCTGTGTGGTGAGATGTCGAGCGCAGGTGCGGGCATGCTAAGAGACTGCGTGCTTCCACAGCTCGGATATACAAGACGTGTTCGGTCGTTTGTGACCCTGCGGCACGTCGGAGGAAAAGCGTGATCTCCCAGGCAAACCGTTTGGGGGGGGTGGGGGGAAATTGAGGAGGGGCTCTCTGGGGGTATCTTGGGGCTCTCGTGGGGCTCTTTTGGAGCCATTCGGAGCGTCTTGAGGGCCTCCTGGGGGGCAGTCGTTGCCCGTCTTGGCGTGCCATCGGCCGCCTGTCCGAGTAGGTTTGAACCTTTTTTCGCAGCCTCCAAGAGCCTGCTGGCGAACTGCCCCTGACCCTGACCTCGGGAGCGTCGCGCGGCCCAGTGAACCTCGCGCCCCCCTGGGCGGGGAGGGACAGGGAAGGAACAGAGGGAGGAACGGGGCGGGGAACGAGGGGAGGCGCAACACGCGCAGGAGAGGGGCCGCAACGGCATCCGCAACCCAGCGATTATCATCGCGCGCACGCGACACAGCGAGGTTGCACGATTCAGTCGACACCTGCATCCATCAAGTGCACCAGGCCTGTCGTGTTGCACGTAGCGCCGTTTCCCTACGGAATGGAAGGGGACTCCCCGGACGACCACCTGCCCTGGAAAAGGGGACGAGGGCGAGGAAGGGAGGAAGGGGAGCAGGAGAGAGCAGAGCCGGGAGGCGGAGGAGACCAGCGCGCGGCCGTGGGGCGAGAGCCACCCCAGCCCCACCGTTGGGCGCGGTCCCGTCTTGGGGCGGTCCCGTCGAGGGGCGGCCCCATGTAGGTTTAAGTGGGGCATGCCCCTCTACAGGAGCAAGATCCAGAGATAGTCCAGAAATAGTCTGGGGACGATTTGTTTACTTTTGAATATGCGTTGACTCTCTGTAATGTTTCCTCCATCGTTCGCCTGTAGGAGGACATGCCCGGCCTAAATCGAAGTGCGGGTAGGACCGCGCATTGCTGGGCCTCCCAGGAGCCCACGGGAGTTGCGACAGCTGCGCAGTTGCTGGCCTCCAGGGCGCGAGGTCCCCTCGGGGTGCGCGTTGGCGCCCGCGCTGCGCTCGGCCTCACGGGGCCCACGCAGATGCAGGCAACTGCGCGTAGTTGCGAGCCTCCCGGGGAGCAGGGCCGCGCTTCGCTGGGCCTCCGATGAGGCCGCGGTTCAGTTCACAACAGGCAAGCGAAGACGGCCAGGTAGGAGGAGCAGGAGCCACAAGGCAGGAGGAGGGAGGCGGGAGGGCGGGAGGAGGCGGGACAAGGAGGAGGAAGGAAGGAAGGAGGGAAGGAAGGACGGCAAGCGAAGACGGCCAGGTAGGAGGAGCAGGAGCCACAAGGCAGGAGGAGGGAGGCGGGAGGGCGGGAGGAGGCGGGACAAGGAGGAGGAAGGAAGGAAGGAGGGAAGGAAGGACGGCAGTATTCTGTTCAAAACGAAGACCCATCCAGAAAAGGGTTGGGGCACAGAGGGATGAGGGATGAGAGGAGATAGGACGAGGGCGGCAGGAGGGAAGGAGCACGGAGTCTCGGAGGGACGGCTGGACGAGGAGGAGCGGCGAGGTGAGGAGGAGGAAGTACGGTGCTTTTGCTTGTCTCCCTATATATATGTGTATATATATATATATATGTGTATCTCTCTCTCATTATCTGCCTCTCTCTCTCTCCCTCTCTCCCTTCTTCCGTGAAGGCTGTTTCTGCAACAGGCGCGCACCAGGTTGGGGAACGGAGTCTCGCAGGGACGGCTGGACGAGAGGAGCGGGTCCTCCTCCTCCTCCTCGTCCTCCTCCCACTACCCCTCCTCCTCGACAGCTCGGTGAGGTTACCGTAGCTGGATTTTTTGCGTCTGGCATACCGTCTCGACAACGCTGGCCCCGTCGAATCCCTGCTCGTATGCTACTTCATATCGGTGGCCGCTGGACAGGAGCGAACGTTCGAGGGGTCGACAGCGCAGTCGCAGGGCTCGAGACTCAGCCTGGTCAGGTTACCTCGAAGAAGACAAAAGGGCATCCAGCGTGGATTTCTTGGATCTGCGCTGGGACCCCCCCCTGGCGGCGCCTCCGGCGCCGCCCCTGGCGCGCTCCGCGCGCCAGGGAGGGGGGTCCAGCGCAGATCCAAGAAATCCGCACGGAGCGCCGAAAGTGATTGTTTATGCCGCTTTTTGTTTCTGTAGTTACCGTAGCTGGAGTCTTTGCGTCTGGCATGTCGTCTTGACAATGCTGACCCCGTCGACCTCCTGCTCGCACGCTACACGAGCATATCATGCATGAGACCGCTCCTGACATCTGCTCGCGTCTGGCATCAGAACGTTAAGCTGTTCCCCAAACTGATGTTCGTGCCTTTCGACATCAGGTCTCAAAGCACCCCGACTTTGATAACATGCAGTACTCTGAACCTCTAGACGTTTACCTCACCGTGCTCCGCCTCCTAGCCAGCGAACCATGTTGCCCCTCGGAGCACGCCCTCCGAGAATCTGACCTCCTGGGCTCCTCAGGCTCCCCGGGAACACCGCCTCGACTGAGACCACGACTCCCTTGATGGCGCACATCTCCGTGGGGCGCTCCGTCGGGTTTAGTCGGTGCAACGGGTGCTCGACCTCCGTGACTGCTCTCCTCTGCTGATCGTTACCCTCCTTTTTCTTCGGCGACATCACCTCTTCTGGGAAACTGAACGCAAACCCCAGCAGGACCGCAATGATTCGTGGCGCGTTGATTTGCCAGACGAAACCATGTTTTGTTACATGCTGCGTCGTGGCTGTTCTCTTCCCCGCCTCGGGGCTGAGATATCTACGCGGCAACCTGTAAGTTTGAGTTCTTTGTTTTTAAACTCCTATTTGTTTGAACTCCCTGTAATGCGGACCTTGGGCTCCTTGCCTGGCTTCTCGAGCGTCGGCAGCACCATCCGCTCGCAGAGCCACTGCTCCGCGACGTAGAGCTTCTCCCTGTCTCCGGCATGCGAGCGTGAGCTTTGTCGTGAGCGACGCCAGCACCTCGTCGTTGCGAGGGGGAGGTGTCCAAGTGCTCGGAACTGAAGATCAGGGGAGGAAAAGGTACCCATACCATACCCTTCCTTTATTTTCCAGTTTTTTTTCTACCTCCTGGGCGGCCCTCATCGCCACCGCTGGATTCGCCTCGAAATCCTGGTCAGAATGCACCCCAGGAGAGGTTCGGAGAGTAGCGGTATCCGTACCTTTTTGTTGCCCACAAGATAGCGTCGAGAGCCCCGAACAGGCAGTGGAACGTTGGGGTGCCTATGTCGGCTCTATCTCGCCCTCCTTGCTTCGCTTCCTTTTGAGCGCCTGGAGCGAGTTGTGGATTTTGCCTGCACGGCGTTGAGCTCCTCTTGGCGATCAGCATGGACATGCGCGTCTCGTTCTCTGGCGCGCTCACCTTGCCCTCCAGCTGGATGAGCAGCGCCTGCATGGCCGCCTGGGGCCGCCGACGACGCTTCCTCTCTGCCTGGCTGCTCGCGCCCCAGGGCGCGCTATCCACGAGCTCGCTGCCGCCCGCTCATCTTGCTTCAACTCTCACATGCTGGAACGACGGCGGAAGTCGTGGAAGAATGTGCAGCCTGCAATGTTCGGAGAAGCTGGCTGCGGCGTCGGACACTTCTAGGCACAAGGGACAAGGTAGACTCGTCGGCTTTTCCATTTCAGCATCGCATCCTCCCCCGGATTCCGGACAATACCCTAGCTTGGTCATGCTAGCTGAAATTGTGTCTTTATCCCCCTCTCCTGGTCATGCTAGGTGAGATTGGCAGTTTCCTGGTCAGTATCGTATCATCCCCCTCTCCTGGTCATACTAGCTGAACTGCGTTGTCTAGCTGTCTCCCTGTCCCTGAACGTACTCTCGCATGATCGTGCCGTAGCTTGTGGTAGCCCATACGTGTCCCATCCCCAATGTTCCGTGCTTTCCCCCAGACGTGGCTCGCTTCTTGGCCAGGGTGGTGCCACACGTTCTACTGTCCTCTGATGGCCTCCATGCATCTGCGCTCGCCTCCACACGTGCCGACCTGCAGCTGGCTCTGTCGTGTCGCTCGTGTGAAACAAACATTCGCGCGTATCTCGTCGGCATCGTGCCTTACGAGCTCCGTAGTGTCATAACACGTGAATGTGTACAGTGGTTTCATGCTCGTGCAACATGGCAACCGACTCCGCGGCAGTGGGCGAGACCAAGTCTTGCTGAGTTTGTCCAGCCCATGGATAGGCTTGTTCCGACACTCGACCATCGCCACATGCAGGCGCATCATACTTAGTCGTGTCAAAGACTGCCGATAGGTGTCGTGAGTTATCTTCGCACATTTCCACGAGTTTATGCAACCATGTCATTCTCTGTATCAGTAATTCCATACATAGTGGTGCACATCAAAACTTCCTCATCGTCTCCTCGAGGCTGATCGTGCGCATGTGTGCTGGCCCCTCCTCCCACCTGGCCGTTTGCTCGACACTGCTTGAGCAGGAAACTCATAAGATGCCGCAGAACTGCGTCTCTAAGTGGACCCGATCCATGTGCAGCAACTTCGAGCCTCGATGGGGCTGTGTCGATCAAGAACCCCCTCGGCCATCGATCGTGTCACCGAGAACGGGGAGCTGCTGAACCAGCATTTCCCCATGGAGTGATACGCAGCTTTCAGGGCCAAGCGACGTTTTGTAGCTCAAATCCTGGAGTGAAAGTGGCTGACTGGAGTCCTCCCGTCGGCGGCGAGCGAGGGGGGGAAGTTAGAAGGGGTGGGCCATCTCAGAAGGCTCGGAAGTCCCCCGGCCTTCTGAGAGGTTTTCTATGCATCCCCTGAACACACAGACAAATTCTCAGAAGGCGCGCGGCTTCTGGGAATTCCCGCCGCCTTCCGAGAAGGTCTTCTCATTCTCATTTCTTACCATTCCCCCCCTCGCCTCGCTCGCCGCCGATCCCAACTGCCTGAGATGTGGTGCCTGGTTTTGTCCTGCGATGCCACAGACTTCGCCATCACACAGCCTTCTCTGAAGCTGAGGGGCCCGAGAGCAACGACGAGGGGCGCGGGCGGGGGGGGGGGAAGGGCAGAAGGGAGAGGGACGCGAGGGGAGGGGTTGGGCAAGGGGAGGGCAGAAGGGAAAGGGCAAGTGGAGGGGAGGGGGGAGAGCGAGGGGCCGGTGGGAGGAGATGTGATGGGGGAGCGACGAGGGAAGGGGGAGTGGGGAGGGGGGAGGGCGAGGGGGAGAGCGAGGGGGAGAGCGAGGGGAGGGGGGAGGGCGGGGAGGGGAACCACGATGGGCGAGGGACGAGGGGAGGGGTGGGGGGAGGGAAAAAGGTAACGGAGCGAGGAGGCGCGAGGAGGCAGGCAGCAGGAACGATGCTACTTCTCCTCGTCCTGGCTTCGTCGTCGTCCTCCTCCTCCTCCTCCTCCTCCTCCTCCTCCTCCTCCCCCTCCTCCTTCCCTTCTCTTGCCCCGCCTCCCCATGGCCCGCCCGGGGCTGGCCGGCGACCGCTCGCCCCGCGCGCGCACCGCCGGAAGGCCGGCGCCCCTCCCGCCCCGCGCGACACGCGCCGCGCCGGGGGGCTGGGCGCAGCCGCCGGGGGCGCGGCGATGGCTCCGTCGGAGGCGGTCGAGAGGCCCCCTCCCCGGCCGCGCGCGCGGCACTCTGCTCTGTCACGGTCTGTTCGGTCGCAGGTCACGGGAGCGCCTGCTCTGGGTTCTTGCCCGAGCGTGGGGGGGTTGCCCCCCCGACGGGGGTCAGCCTCGTCACGTCGTCGCGTCGCGACGGGGGTCGGAGCGCCCTCGGCGCGCGGTGGCTGCCCGCGACGGGGGTCGATGTGGGGCTGTCGGCGGGGGTGACGCCCCGCGACGCTTCTGAAGAAACTCGGAGTTCTGCACCCTTGGAAATTATGTCTTTAACGTCGATAAGCGTCTGGGAGTCGATAAGATAGCGCCGATTTAGCGTCGGCTGGCGTCGATTAGCGTCGATCTAGCGTCGACCAGCGTCGATTTCGCTAGCGCCGACAAGATGGTTTGGGAAGCTCCCATGAGTTGCCACCGAACGTTCTGTTCGGTTCGGTTCTGCTCTACGCACATCTGATTTGTTATGTTATGCTCTCGACGGGGCGTCGTGACGCCTGTCACGTTTGATATGTAGCCTAATCGGTCGTTGCTGCACCTCTTTTTGTCCTGTGGCCAGCCTTAAGTCGGCGTGGATGTGGCAGGGCGCCATTCATGTGTGGTTGCTGTGTTTATCAGCTTTCAACTAGGTTATGTTCCGTCATGATGAAGTATGTCTACTGTGTCATGTGATGTTGTATTCTCGACGGGCCAGCGTGACGTCGTAATGCTTGTCACGTTAGATACGTCGTCCAATGGGGCGTTGCTGCGCCTACTTGTTCCTGTTGCCAGCCTGACCTCGGAGCGCACGTCGCGTTTGATTATGTTTTGGTGCGGCTGATTATGTTATGATGCTCGCCCGATGAGACGCCATGAATTGGTGGCAATGATAACGTTGCTAGGTTATGTTCGCTGGGGTTCTGCCCAGCGTAGTACTTGGCAGCCTATTATATCATGCTCTGCTCTCGACGGGCCGTTGTGACGTCGTGACACCTGTTACTATTGATCTGTAGTATGGTCGGTCGTTGTTGCTACGGCTTGTTGCTGTGTCCAGCGTGGGCTGAGCGCCTATGTTGACTATACTAGAACGCTGGAACTTAGCTGTATTATACTCTGTGAAGTTATGTTCGATTATGTTTCGTTCGATGCACATGCGGTTTGTTCTGGTCTGCTCTCAACGGGGCGGAGTAACGTCGTGACGCCTGTCACGTTCAATATGTGGTCTAATCGGTCGTTGCTGCGCTTGGGGACAGGGGGTGCTTTCCACCAGTCCGATTGGCCCCCCACGCCTTTCGGAATTGTCAGCATTCGGGCCTCCCCTGTCCTCCCACTCGGCCCAGGGTCCAACACGAGTTGCCAGCCCTGCATAGGCCGAGTTCTTCGGCCCGGTATTATGGGGGAAGGGCACGGGTCCGGCGGAACTAGTTTGAAATCGTCCACACATTCTTGTCCTAACCCTCTACCCCCAGTAGCTGGCACAAAATATATGATCCCCTCCTCTCTAAAAGGAAACAGATTCTACCTCCCTCCCCCCCGGACTTCTCGATTCCCCCGGAACCTATGCAAAAACCGTATGATTTTGACCCAACGTCCATCCTACTTGTGCGTTCCTACAATCCCAGCCAAACTGGTATCGTTCCCCCCTCGGTTCCCTTGCAAAAGATATCATGCGCGCGCAAGTTTTCAATAATCCCTTGTATAGAACGGGACGAAGTGCGCACGCGCGCGTCGTCGCGCGCGCGTGCCGAAACCCTTCAAAAACTTCAGTATTCGGAAAGACGTCAAAACCGAGCGTCCAACAACAATAAAAGCACAAGGTTTCGCAACACGGAATTTCAACAACAACGCGCGCGCTTTTGCGAATTCTTAGCACAACCATGAGTTTTTCAACATTTTCATAACATGCTACCAAACGGGCTTCGCGCGCGCATGTCGAAATCGTTCGAACGTCTTTGCGCGCGTGCTGGGGAGGCACGATCCGTCTCAAATAATTCCATGCGGGCCACTCGCGCGTCTGCCGCGCGCGCATTCCGAATTCCTTCCAAAACCCTCTTCACCGACGCGAAGATGCCGTCATCGTCGTCGGCGTGATCAGCATCGGCGCCGTCACTGGCTGCCCCGTAGTCGCTGTCAGCATCGTCGCCAGCACCGCTACTATCATCATTGCGTCTACCGTTGTCGACGTTGCCGAGCCGCCGATTCGCATTGGAGTGCCCGCTGGGATGCGCCGAGCGGTCAGCGTGTCCGCGTTCGCGTCGGTCGCGCCAAACTAGCTGGCCGCTGCGCGCGCGAGCATGCGCGGGCTAGCGCGGCCGCGGAGATGCACCAGCCAACACCCAACACCCAACACTCATCGCAATCGCTCCCGCATGGGTTTTGCAAACCAAGTTGCGGATGGGTGGGTGGGATGATTGCGCGAGCAGTGGAGTTGGCAATTTCAAGTTCGGCCAGTGAGTTGCACCGCGTAGCACGGCGCTGATTGCACAACATCAGCTGCACCACATATAGTGCACAACCTATATTGCGCCACGCACATTTCCCGCTCGACATGGGCGTTAAGATGCCCCCTCCTTTTTGTATCGGCCCTCCCTGGGATAGTACGATGTACGTTCGATTCTGCCCCACCGTTCATTCTAAGTATGAACACATACCATCCCAGCCCAGCCAGTATCGCCCCCCCGTCATCCCTTGCAAATGAACGCGCGCACACCAATTCATCAAAGTCGTCATTGTCGAAGAATCCGTTGGACAAAAGAGAAAGAGAGAGCACACGCGCGCGCGTCGTCACGCGCATGCCAAAATCCTTCAAGCATTCTGGTTTCCGCAATGATTTCAAGATCCAGGCCCCAGAAAACATTGACACGTACAGTGGTTTTGCACTGTGGGTGTTTCAAAACATTGCGCGCTCTTGCACTTCTGGGGGGACAGACGATATCCAACATGTTCACCACATGCGACCGAGCAGACCTCTCGCGCGCGTGTCTCAATCATTCGAGCGTTTTTGCGCGCTTGCTGGGGGGGGGGGGCACGATCCCTCTCAAACAATACCGCGCGGGCCACTCGCGCCCGTCGGCCGCGCGCGCACGTCGAAATCCTTCCAAAATCTTCATCAGTGGCACGTGGACACCATCATCGTCACCGGGGTGATCAGCATCGGTGCCGTCATTGGCCGTGCCGTCGTCATGGTCATTGTCGTCACCAGCATCGCTACATTCATCATCGCGTCTGCCTTTGTCGACGTCGCCATGATACCGCGCCCGCCCGAATCACTGTTTCGCATTGAAGCGCCCGCGCGTTTGCGCGGCATGCGAGACGCGCTGGGAAGTCCCCGGTGGTCAGCGCCACCGCGGCCGCGTCGGTCGCGCCAGGCCAGCTGGCCTGTTCTGCGCGCGAATCTGCGCGCTAGCGCGGCCGCAGCGATGTGCTCGGCAGCCAGCGCCAAACAGTCGTCGCAATCGCCGCCGCAGGGGCTTTGCAAACGAACGGGTGGGATTATTGCGCGAGCAGTGATGTTGACACTTTCAAGTTCGGCAGGGCGAATTGCACTACGTAGACTGATCCACATAGTGTGCACAACGTAGATAGCGCCGCGTAGACAACACCACATAGACTGCATCACGTAGATGGCGCAACGTAGAATGGACCGCGTAGATTGCACCACAAGGCTGCGCTAATGCACCACGTAGGGTTCACAACCCACATGGCACCCCGTAGATTCTCTAGACTTTACCCCCCCCCGGCGTTATCGGACCCCCTTTCGGGTATGTAAATCATTTATGATTATGACGACATGTCCATCCTAAATATGAATTTGCACTATCCCAGAGGGGGCCGGGATCGGTCCCCCTGAGGCTCCCGTGTTAAAAAGCAATACACAGGAACATTTTTTGTTCTAGCATAAGACTTTTCACGAGTCCCTTGCAAAAATCGGGACGAACTGCGCTCGCGCGCGTCGTCGAGCGCGCATGCCGGAATCCTTCAAAAACTCTCGGTGTCGGAAGGATTTCGCAACCGAGTTCCCAACAAACATACAAAAACACATGGTTTCGCAGCGCCGATTTGCTCAAAAAACTTACGCGCGAGCTCTTGCGAAGTCTTAAGAAAACCACCGGTTCTTCAAGAATGCTACCAAACGGGCTTCGCGCGCATGTCGAATTTTGTCGACCGCCCTTGCGCGTGTGCCGTCGCGAGAATCATTCGCAAAACAACGGGACGAAGTGCAGACGCGCGCGTCGTCGCGCGCGTACGCCGAAATTCTTCAAAACCATCGGTTTCGGAAAGATTTCAACATCGTGTGTCTAAAAAACATACAAAACACAAGGTTTTGCAACACGGATTTTTCAACAAAAGCGTGCGCGCGCGCTTTTGCGTCGTCGTCGTCGTCGCCGTCCTCCCTCCTCCCGCGTCGTCATCGTCGTCGCCTACGTCGTCCTCTGTCTTTCCTCGTGTTCGTCGTCGTCATCATCTTTGGCGTCGTGGTCGTTTCCGTCGTCGTTGTCGCCGTGGTCCTCCTTCCTCCTCCTCCCTCGTCGTCGTCGTCGTCCGTCGTCGGCGTCTCGTCGTCGTCCCTCCTATTTCGTCGCCGTCGTCGTCGTCGTTGTCGTCGTCGTCTTCCCTTCTCCCTCGTCGTTGTCGTCGTCGGCGTCGCCGTCCTTCGTCCTTCTTCGTCGTTCGCGTCGTCGCCGTCCTCCCTCCTCCCTCGTCGTTGTCGTCGTTGTCGTCGTTGTCGCCGTCGTCGTCCTCCCTCCTCCCTCGTCGTCGTCTTCGTTGGCGACGTCGTCGTCGTCTTCGTCGTCGTCGACGTCGGCGTCGTCGTCTTCGTCGTCGCGCACTGAAGTGCCCGCTGGGATGTGCCGAGCGGTCAGCGCCACGCGCGTTCGTCGGTCGCGCCAAACTAGCTGGCCGCTGCGCGCGCGAACATGCGCGGGCTAGCGCGGCCGCAGAGATGCACCAGCCAACACCCAGCACTCATCGCAATCGTTCCCGCATGGGTTGTGCAAACCAAGTTGCGGGCGGGTGGGTGGGATGATTGCGCGAGCCGTGGAGTTGACAACATCAAGTTCGGCAGGCGAATTGCACCACATAGATTGCACAACGCATGTTGCACCACATGGATTGTACAACCTTAGACTGCACCAGTCATCTTGCACAACAAATTTCGAGCTACATGGGTTGTGCAACATATGGTGGACCACATCGGGTGCACAACATACATTGCGCCACATAGATCGTCCTTTCTAATGAAATTGAAATAGGTTCTACCACCCTCCCCCCCAGACTTATCGATCCCCCAGGAACTTATGCAACACACATACGATTCTGGCCCTATGTCCATCCTACCCGTGAGTTCATATTTTCCCCGCCAAACCGGTATTGGTCCCCCCTCGGTTCCCTTGCAAAGAAATACTATGCGCGCACCCTTGCTGATCAAAATTCATAAGTTTCCAAGAATCCCTTGCAGCAGAACGTTGGGCGAAGTGCGCGCGCGTCGTAGCGCGCGCATGCCGAAATCCTTCAAATTCGTCTGTTTTCGGAAGGGCTTCAAAATCGACTGTCCGAAAAACATGTCAACAACAAATGCAACAACAACAACAACAACACGAACGTTCAACAAAAACGTGCGCGCGCGCTCTTGCGAATTCTTAACACAACCATGAGTTGTTCAACATTCCATAAAATGCTGCCAAGCGGGCTTCGTGCGCGCGCATGTCGAGATCGTTCGAACGCCCTTGCGCGCGTGCTGGGGAGGCACGATCCGTGTCAAGTAATACCATGCGAGCCACTCTCGCGCGTCCGCCGCGCTCGCATTTCGAATTCCCTCCAAAACCTTCACCACCGACGCGAAGGCGCCGTCATCGTCGTCGGCGTGATCAGCAACGGCGTCGTCACTGGCTACTTCTAAGTCGCTGTCAGCATCGTCGCCACAATCGCTACTATCATCATCGTGTCTACAGTTGTCGACGTCGCCATGATACCGCGCCCGCCCGAGTCGCCGATTCGCACTGAAGTGCCCGCTGGGATGTGCCGAGCGGTCAACGCCACCGCGTTCGCGTCGGTCGCGCCAAAACTAGCTGGCCGCTGCGCGCGCGAGCATGCGCGGGCTAGCGCGGCCGCAGGGATGCACCAGCCAACACCCAGCATTCACCGCAATCGCTACCGCATGGGTTTTGCAAACCAAGGTGCGGGTGGGTGGGTGGGATGATTGCGCGAGCAGTGGGGTTGACCGCTTCAAGTTCGGCAAGGGAATTGCATCACATAGGTCGCACACTGCACAGTGCATTAAGCACGTTTGTATACATTTATGTATATATATGTGCATGCGAAAGTACTTCTCTTCGCACCGCGTCGGCACGTTACCGATGGACCACCTGTGGCCCCAGGCGCTGGACCACCGACCCAAGCAGTTCGCGTTTGCGTGTGTGCGCGTGTGGTTTGTGACCGGCCGCTCCGTTCTGTTTCGCCCCGCGCCCTCACACCTAGTTCTTGGACGCGTCCTTCCGGGGCCGCGCGCACTGTCGAAGGAGGTTTGCAATGCATACGCCCGTTGCCCGTAAAACTTAGATCGCGACCGTGCTGCCACACACCACAGGCGGAGTTACAAGAGTGTGTGTGTGTGGTTTGCGGTCCGCGACACGATCGCATTGTGCATGCGTTCGCGCGCCCCCCCCCCCACACCCCGCTGGCAAAACAGAGCGCACGGGTCGGGGAGGGGTGGGGGAATCAGTGCGAGACCATGAAATCGGACCACACATGTTTTTGTATCTCGCCAGCCTCGCTCGAAGATGGGGCCGCTCAGAGGTGTTAGAGCATTCGAGCGCACGCCTGAGGGGGCGCGCTTTTCGGTTGCGGCCGGCTGTGGCTCCGCCGCCTCTTCCCACACTTCCTGGAAGCGCGCACGCCGCAAACGGGCTTTCCATTTGGTAAGAGATGGTCGGGGGCCACCAAGCGGTATGGTGACCACATCGCGTGGTGAGTCGGTGTAGATTCGGGGTCACCACGCGGTTTTGGGATCCGGATCGTTCTCTGAGGATGTCTCGGGCGACGTGGGCCTCCAGGGTCCCAAGACCGTGTGGTGACGCACCGCGCGGTGAAGTCGCTGGGGATTCCGAGGGAGGTCACCACGCGGTCCGTCACCACACGGTTTTGAGTTCCCGAAGATTGGGTTGTCATGGGGCATTCCCGCACTCCGTCGTGCTGGCCGCTGGAAGCTATGCAGGTCGCGTGCAATTCGGATGCTGCTCTTATCTTCCAGGGGGTCTGGAGAGCATGCGTGCGCGGAGGATGTCGCCGCACCAACGGGCCAGCGGACCTGCGGGTGGCGTCCACAGGCTGCGTCTCGCTGCCTCTGGGTGCACCGCTGTCCACTCCCTTGTCCTTCACCTTCTCGGCAGCGAGCGAGGGGGGGGAAGTGAGAAGGAGAAGGCCTTCTCAGAAGGTGGCGGAACTTAGAAACCCTCGCTTTTTTTGAGAAATATGTTGTGTCTTCGGGGGAGGTTCAGAAAAACTTGTCAGAAGGCCAGGGGACTTCCGAGCCTTCTGAGAAGGCCCGCCCCTTCTCATGTCCCCCCGGGCACGCCGCCTACCTGCACACGCCTAGCCCCGTGGTCTTGATGCGCCCTGCCCTGGAAAGGTTCTTGCGCGAGAACGATGTGGACGAGCGGGCAGCAGCCGCACTACGGGCCGCAGACCCGAAAGTCCAGGCGGAGACGCTGGAGCGCGGAAACTTGACGGCAGCCGCGGGGGAAGGGGGGTGGAGGACCGTAGGCGGAGTGGTAGCGTACCTTTTGTGTTCCCTGTGCCTGGATCCTGGGCCACCCGCCTCCTTGGCAACGCTTGAGCGTGTGTATTTGTCCTCGGCGAGAACCATCGAGGAGCATGTTGGGCCATCTTGCGAAAGCATCCACGCGCGCGAAACCAAAACATGCACAAGGGGTGGACGTCCGAGCGATGGCGAGCCTGCGTGTCCCCCCATGCCTGGGGCCCGGGCCATCCACTTCGGGATCTGCTCTTTGGTTTGGGACCCTCCTTGGGGACCCTCCTTGGGTGAGCCTTCCGGCGAAGGGGCCCGTGCTCTTGACCCGTGCTCTTGGGTGGGCTTTCGGCGGCGCTCTTGCCCAAGGGAGCGCTCCGTGGCCCAGGACCCAGATGTTTATCTGGCCAACTTGGGGAACTGTAGAATGTCTTCGAATTGGGTTAGCGGCACTGAGCGGCACGAACGCTTGCGGTCCCGATGGGGCCGGCGGTCTCATTCACGCGCCCGTGGTGTCATGGAGGTCGGTGACCCCGAGCCCTGATTTACATGACCGTGGCCCAGATGGGGCTACACGGCCACTAAGTGCCACTAAATGGTACCACCCCCTGGATTAAAAGTGATGATCGGCACTACGGCCAAGAACAACCCCTGGGTCTTCGCCAACCGAAAAAAACTCAAGCTTCGCCCTTCGATCGATCCCAAGTAACTCCCAGACAGAGTCGTGACCCGAACGGCGGAACGGTGATGCAGGGGTGGACAGAACGCGCGGTAATTAGGACAGCCCAAACGAAATCGCCACTCTTTGGCGGTGTGAAAAGCGGCCAAGTACCCTGCCAGGAATTATCAGGCGACATCGCCGCTCTCAAGCGGCATGAAGATGGATCAGGATTTTTTCTGCGGAAGTCCCATGCAAAATCGCCACTTTCAGATGCCGCGGCAAATTCTCAGATCGCCCTGGAAGGCGGTCTTATTTTTTTGCGCGGAAATCTCAGGCGAAATCGCATTTTCAGACGCTGACCCCATTTGGCCGTTATAATATTTGAAGGGGTGAGCGATGCATCTGAAATTCCCGACTCGGCCCCGAGTCCAACATTGTCCTGGGGCCCCGTGGCCTGACGGGAGGCCAACCGTGTCTTCTTCGATCCCCACGGTCTCCATTTTTTATCCAGCGGGTTGTAGTTCTCGGAATCACTAAGGGCCATTCAGCGCCACTATATGGTAATTTTCGGGACCACGAACGGCCACTAAGTGCCACTAAATGGTAGAGCTCGGGCTACTACGTGCCGCTAAATGATATCTTAATTCTCGGAGCCACTAACGGCCACCAGGTGCCACGAAATGGTAATTCTCAAAGCCACTAGCGACCACTAAGTGCCACTGAATGGTACGTACTTCTCGGAGGCAGTAGCGGCCGCTAGGTATCACTAAATGGTAATTTTCGGGGCCGCTAAAGGCCACTAAATGCAAGTAAACGACACTAAACGGCCGCTACAGACCGCTAAGCGGCCACTAAGCGCCACTATATGGTAATTCTCGGCGGTCGCGATGGTCAGTCCGAAGTTCCCCAGAGAGCCCACAGAAAGATGTCTCGTCCCGCGCGCGCCCCTGCTGCACGTTGGGGCCGTCGGCGAGCCGCTGTGCACACGAGAAGGGTAGCTTGTGGCGCGTCGGCGACTATCGGGCGGAGGTGGGGGGGGGTGGGGGGCGAGGAGGAGGAGGTGGAGGATCAGGATTGTTCTCCCTGTGTCCCTCTCTCCCTCCCTCCCTCTTTGTTTCACTCTCTTTTATATTTAGGTGTATTTGGGTGTCGCTCTCCGTCCCTCCTTCTTTTTTGTTGTTGTTCTCTCTCTCTCTATCTTTATCTGTCTTTCCTTCCCTCTCTCTCTCTCTCGCTCTCGTCATCTCCTTCTCGTTAAACGCAGCCCCCTCGTAGACGCACGCTTGTATAATTTGTGTGGCTGCTTGATGGGGCGTCGTGAGCAGGGCACTGTCGACCACGAGAGGTATGGCGCGTGAAGGGCGTAACCGCCAAAAACAAGGGCGCAGACGCCACAGCTAAGTATGGTTTCAGACAGCTCAAATATGCAGCTGGGAGGGGGCCTTCAATCGCACTCCCCCATCACGCCTCAATTCCGACGTTGTATAAGTATTCTACGGGCGTCTTCGATAGATTCTGGCCCTGGGACGGTAATGGATCGACCTGGTTTGGGAGATCCCGCATCGACTAATAAACCTATGCCCCCGAACCATTCACGGTCCGATGTATCAATTCGGCCCGTCGTTGTTGTTCAGTCTTGGTGCCCGCAACGGCTTCGAGAGGCCCCAACTAGCGAAACAAAAGTTAATAGGTTCCCCAAGCAATGATGTGTTGGGTCGGCGTTTTGAAGAGACAGCAGCACCCCGCATCATTCATTCCTTCCTCCTCCCCCTTCTCCCTCCTTTCTTCCCTGCTTGCCTCTGCCCTGCGTATGCCAACCAGCTCGGCACACCCCTCGCACGTATCGTGGCCCCATACGGATCCCCACAGAAGGTCCCAGTGGCAGTGGTCACAAGCGTCCCACAAACCCATTCTGGCACACCCCTCCCACGCTTCGTGGCTCCATTGGGAGCCCCACCGAAGACCTCAGTGACAGTGGCCATATGCGCCCCTACACCCATTTCGGCACACCCCTCACACGATTCCTTGGCCCCATAAAGAGCCCCACCGATGACCCCTGTGGCAGAGGCCATATGCGTCCCTAAAGCCCATTTCGCCACTTCCCTCACACGCTTCTTGGCTCATAGGGAGCCCCACAGACGGCCCCAGTGGCAGTGGCCACGTGCGTCCCCTAAACCCATTTCGGCACACACGCACACACCTCACGTATTGGTAGCCTCACAGGGAGCCTCACCGAAGGCCCCGTTGGCAGTGGCCGCATGCGCCCCTAAACCCGTGTCGGCACATTTCTCAGACGTGTCGTGGCCCCCGTGGGGAGCTCCACCCAAGGCCCCAGGGGCCATTCGCGAGTGGGCGTCACGGTCGTTTCGGCACACCCTTCACACGAGTCGTGGCCCCATAAGGAGCTCCACCGAAGGCCCCAGTGCCACCTCTCGCATGTGGGCGTCACGCCCGTTTCGGCACACCCCTCAAAACGTTCCGTAGCCACATAGGGAGCTCAGTCGAAGGCCCCAGAGGCGCCCCTCACATGTTGGCGTCACGCCCGTTTCGGCACACCTCTCACATGTTTCGTGGCCACACTGGGAGCTCCACAGAAGGCCCCAGTGGCAGGGGCCGCATGCATCCCCGCGCCCGTTTCGGCTCTCCCCTCACACGCCTCGTGGCCCCATACGTTTTCTGAGCCCCACCGAAAGCAGTACCCACAACGGGGTACTCATAATTGCATTTGGTTGGGTCCTTCGCCAGAATAATTCTGCAAGCCTCTGGATGTCAGGGGCCCTCCTCCTCCTCCTCCTCCTCCTCCTCCTCCTCCTCCTCCTCCTCCTCCTCCTTTTCCTCCTCCTCCTCCTCGGCCTTCGGTCGATCCACGGACCCTCTCCCAGGGAGCATCTTGGCGAGTGTCTGGGGCCGCGTTTATCCGTGGCGACGAGAACCTCTAGAACGAATGTGTCCGCCTCGCTCCTCGAGCCTCGATCCTATGTTCAACCAACCTGCATCCTCGAACGCGGGGCCAGTGACTCTTCGGAGGCGCCCATGGAACCTTCAGCCAAGCATCATTCTCTCCCTCCTCCTCGCTTCCCTCGTCCTCCCGCAGCTTCCCACGCCCATCTATCCGATGTACACACCGAGATCTTGAGGACGAGAGGCTGGGCAGCACGAATTATGGACAATAGTCCGCGAGCTTTTTCTGTCTCGTTCTGTTCTCGTCGTGACCCAAGAGGGGGTCCAGCTGAAAGGGGGTGGTGCAATAGATTTGTGGCAATTTTATGCAATTGTGTTGCAAATGTATTGCGCCAGAGACTTGTATTGCATTGTCTTGCAACTGACGTACTGCGCGCGATCATCCAGCAATGCATCTGCGCACTGGAATGTATTGCACACCCCAAATCGATGTCAACCCCACAAACAGATCTATTGCATCACCTTCTTTTCGCTGGACCCCCTTTCTGGTCAATCCGATGTTCTCACTCCCCGCGGCCGGCGGGAGGACTGCATGAACCCCTCTGCGGCGCTGATGGCCCGCATCCGGGGGGCGCAGGGCGTCAGCTCCGGCGGGGGCGGCGGCTGCGGCCTCTCCGAGGCCGAGCTGCAGGGCAAGCCCGAGGACGCCTGGGCCGCGGGCGGGAGGTGTACCACATAATCCCTCTTCAGGAGGAATATCTGTGACAAAAAACAATATGCTGACGATGTTTCGTGCTCGTTTGACTCTTTTTGAACATGTTGACTCCTTTTTTATTTTCCTTCCAAAATCCGCCTACAGGAGGACATGCCAAGCCTAAATCGAATGGCCGTTGGCTTTTGTCGAAGAAGAATGACAGGCGTAAACACAAACTGTTGGCGCTCCGCGCGGAGTTATTGGATCCGCGCTGGGGTCCCCCTGGCGGCGCCTCCGGCGCCGCCCCTGGCGCGCTCCGCGCGCCATGGAGGGGGGTCCGGCGCTTATCCAAGAAATCCGCTCGCAGCGCCAACAGTTTATGTTGATGCCGTTTTTTCTTCTTGGCTTTGGCTCATCCCGCCACCGTGCCTGGGTTGTGGGTCAGAGTCCTCAGGCATGCTTCTTGGGGTCTCCTGAGGGCGCTCTGGGGGGCCTCTTGGGGGGCAGTTGGGGAGTTTCTAGTGGGAGCCTCTGGGGGGCCTCTGGGGGGCCTCTGGGGGCTTCCTGGGGAGTTTCTAGTGGGAGCCTCTGGGGGGCCTCTTGGGGGCCTCTTGGGGGCCTCTTGGGGCCTCCTGGGGGCTTCCCGTGGCCGAGAGCTCGAGATGTCCATTCGGGTCCCCCGTCGGGGCCCCCTGTTGGAGCCGTCTTGAGGGCCTCTGGGGCCGTCTTGGGCGCCTCTTGGACCGCTTTGGAGCCATCTTGAACCGTTTTGGGACCCTCTTGGAGGCATCTTGAACAGTCTTGGGGCGATCTTGGGGCCTCTTGGGCCGTCCTGGAGCGTCGGGGAGCCGAAAAATCGAGATCGCGAACAGATTCCCCAGACCAAAGGAAAATAAATGATTCGTGCCTCTCGGGAGGCCTCTTGGGGCATCTTAGGGGTATCTTCGGCCGTCTGGCGGCCAAGTTAGGCGAAAGGTGTCTTGTGAAGAGGAGGAAGGCGGAAGAGGAAGAGGAGGAGGAGAGTGTCTTGGGAAATTTTCGAGGTTTCGAGGGCGTCGTTGGAAGTTCGGAGGCTTCATAAGGGGTAGAGTTGAGGGGGAAGAAGGAGAAATCCCCCACTGGCATCCCAAGAAGTCTATGGACCATTGGAACTCCTCCAGAACCTCTTCTGCCCCCCCTCCCCCTTCTCTTGCTGCTGGTCCTCCTCCTCCTCCTCCTCCTCCTGAAGAGGGAACGCACACGAGGAGGAGGAGGAGGAGGAGGAGGAGGAGGAGGAGAGGAGAGAGGGGAAGGAGGAGGAGAGGAGGAGGAGGAGGAGGAGGTAGGAGAGAGGAGGAGGAGGAGGAGGAGAGGAGGAGGAGAGGAGGAGGAGGAGGAGGTGGAGGAGGAACCACAGGAGGAGGAGCAGGAGGAGGAGGAGGACGAGGAGGAGGAGAAGGAAGAGGTCAGGGCGAGCGCGAGGAGGGAGGGGGAGCCCAGGCCTCCGATGCTGTGATTTTCTGTCCTTCTCTCGCGAGGCGGGCCCTCGGTTCCCTCGATCCCCATCGCGAAGCGGTCTGGGCTTTCGGTGGGTGTCGCCACCGTGAGCAGCCCTAGGCCCCGGTAGGGACCTCGAGTCCTCTTCCTCCTCCTCCTCCTCCTCCTCCTCCTCCTCCTCCTCCTCCTGTTCCTTCTCCTCCTCCTCATCCTCCTCCTCCTCGCTCCTCGCTCCTCGCTCCTCCTCCTCCTTCTCCTTCTCCTCCCTCCCTCCCTCCCTCCCTCCCTCCCTCCCCTCTCCCTCCTCCTCCTCCCTCCTCCTCCTCCTCCTCCTCCTCCTTCTCCTCGCTCCTCCTCCTCCTCCTCCTCCTCCTCCTCCTCCTCCTCCCTCCTCCTCCTCCTCCTCCTCCTCCTCCTCCTCCTCCACCTCCTTCTCCTCCTCCACCTCCTTGCCCCTCCTCCTCCTCCTCCTCCTCCTCCTCCTCCTGTTCCTTCTCCTCCTCCTCATCCTCCTCCTCCTCGCTCCTCGCTCCTCGCTCCTCGCTCCTCCTCCTCCTCCTTCTCCTTCTCCTCCTCCCTCCCCTCCCTCCCTCCTCCTCCCCTCCTCTTCCTCCTCCTCTCCTCCTCCTCCTCCTCCTCCTTCTCCCTCCTCCTCCTCCTCTCCTCCTCCTCCTCCTCCTCCTTCTCCTCCTTCCTCCTCCTCCTCCTCCTCCTCCACCTTCTCCTCCTCCACCTCCTTCCTCCCACCTCCTTATCCCTCCTCCTCCTCCTCCTCTTCCTCCTCCTCCTACTTCTCATCACCATCATCATCATCATCATCATCATCATCATCATCATCATCATCATCATCATCATCATCATTATTATTATCATCATCATCATCATTATCATCATCATCATCATCATCATCATCATCATCATCATCATCATCCTCATCATCATCATCATCATCATCATCACCAATCATCATCAGCATCATCATCATCATCAGCATCAGCATCAGCATCAGCATCAGCATCATCATCAGCAGCATCAGCATCAGCATCATCATCATCAACATCATCAGCATCGTCATGATCATCATCATCATCAGCATCAGCAGCATCATCATCATCGTCATCATCATCAATCATCATCATGCTCATCATCAGCAGCAGCAGCAGCAACATCATCATCATCATCATCATCATCATCATCATCATCATCATCATAATCAGCATCATCATCAGCATCATCAATCTGCTCATAAAGTAAGACGCAGACAGAGAAAGCTTGAAGGACAGAGGAAGAGGAGGCGCAGCAGCAGCAGGAGGAGCAGGAGGAGGAAGAGAAGGAATCAACATATTAGATAACGGAGTGGAATGAGGGGGAGGACGGTCTGGGGGAGAGAACAGGGGCAGGATTAGGGGGAGGACATGGAGGGGTTGGAGGAGGAGAAGCAGAAATGCCCGCTGGAACCCTGGAGGGCCGACTTCCCGAAAGCGCTAGTGGGCCGATCACATATCTCAGCGGCTTGCAGAGGGGAAGCAGGAGGAGGCGGGAGGCGGGAGGCGGGAGAGCCATTCAGCGCAGAGGACGTGTGGGCGCGCATCTGCATGAGGAACAATATCAGCCTGGCGCCCGGGACGCCCGACCGATCGGCCTGGCTGGATCTAGGCCTCCCAGGTGGTGTCAGAACAGATGGGGCCGAAGGATCGCGCCACGTCGGCGATGCGGCTCGATATGGAGCCCGAGTTCCTCCACGCCAGCGTCGCCGATACGCCGCCGACGTCGCCGATGCATCGCCGACGCATCGGTGATACATCGACGACGCATCGGCTGTGCGGTGCAATCTTCCGCCCCCATCTGCTCGGGCCCCATACTGGGAGGCATATACTGGACAATGGGGGGGAACGGCTCTTGGAGGGAAGCTCGGAGGCTTTCCGGTGTCGAAGGTTGCTCTCGGGGACGTTGGCTCAGCGTGTCTCTCCGCGGGTTCTGGCCCACTTCGCTTCGACGCGACACTGTATCCACTTCCCAGTCCCCGAGCGTCAACGTCCCTAGCTTTTCCGGACCTCCCGCCTCGCAGAGCGGAGCGACACGCTATCCACTCGCAAAGCGTAGCGGTTCGCCGGGGCCGCCGTCGCGACACGATAAGCACACATTCCCAGCCGTAGAGATGTTTGGACGTCTTTGTCGGTTCCCCGAGTTCTTCCGAGTTCTTCCAGCATCGAGGTGCCTTCCTCCCTCCGGCTGCGCCCTCCTTCTCCTCCCCCTTCTCCATCCTCAGACATCCCACGCTTTGAACAAATCAAGACGGAGGCTACGACTGCCGTCGGCCTGCCTAGGAAGTGCTGCCTTGGAGCTGCCTGGGCGTTGCCTGCGAGCCTAGGCGCTGCCCAGGAGCTGCCTAGGCGCTGCCCAGCCTGCGCAGCGCTGCCTAGAAGCTGCCTGTGCGCTGCCCGCGAGACTCGGAAGCGCTGCCTAGGAGCTGCCCTTGCGCTTCCAACGAGCCTAGGATGCGCTGCCTGGGAGCTGCCTCGGCACTGCCCTTGAGCCGAGGAAGCGCTGCCTGGAAGCTGCCTCAGAGCTGCAAGCGAGCTCAGGAACCTCTGCGAAGGATTTCCCCGGGACCGCGCAAACCCAGCAGAACACAGCAGGCCCTGGGAGAAGGGTCGGGACTTCTGGTGACCCCGTATCCCGTATGGACAAAAAAAGGCATCGGATGTTTGGATCTGCTGCTCGTCATCCTCCCCCTCCCCCGTCCTCATCATCTTCCCTCCTCCGCTTCTCGTGGTCCAATACCCGGTCAAAGCGGGTCCCCGGGCCCCTCCTGGGGTCCATCTCGGGTCTCCGGGCCTCTCTTGGTCGATCATCTCGCCATGGAACGCCCAATGGACTTCCGAAGCGAAGACGCTGAGACGTCTTCGACGATCCCCCGCTGAGGTGGTGGCGGCTCCGCCAACTCCGGGCTGGGCGCGGGTATGGACCCCATCGCGGCCGCGCAGTACATGGCGCTCCAGCAGCACATGGTGCAGCAGCAGATGGTCGGGGGCCCTCGCGCGCCCCGGCGGCTACGACGGCGGCGGTGGAGGGACGCGCGGAGGGATCTAACGCCCAGGCCGGGCAGGGCGGCATGATGGCCGACCTGGCGCGGGTTGGGCGGGAGCGCGGGACGAGTCGCACTCCATGGGAGGCCCCTATCCACCACCGCAGGGCCAGCTGAGGCTCACGCCGTGCACACGATTCCCCAAGCAGTGCTTGCAAGGGGCTCTTGTGTGGCTATGTCTTGCGGAACTGGACGGACTTCCAGGGTTCTTGTTCGGCTGGTGCCCAGGTTGAAATGGGTGCCCGAGGTTTCGCCTGGCGCCTGCCCGTGCGCTTGCACCACGCAGCTCACACAGATTAGCTAGTGTGGCTTAGCTTGCACCACGGTGCAGGCAACGCACAGCTCACACACCATAGCTCGCACACCACGGAGCTTGCACCAATGGAGCTTGCACGCTACAGCTTCCGCGACGGAGCGTTTTCTCACACCACATGCATTACACAACGTGGCTCACACAATACAACTCACGCGACATAGCTTGCACAGCATAGCTTGCACCACGTAGCTTACATTAGATATCTCACGCGAAAAAGCTCACACCACCTAGCTTACACACACATAGCTTGTTCCACATAGCGTGCACAACATAGCCAGTACCTCATACCTGACACCGCTAAGCTTACACCACATAGCTTACACAACCTAAATTCCACCACAACGGTGCACTAAGTCATTGTTTGGGGCCCGCGGTGGCTAGCACTTATAGCAATACTCACGTATACAGATTGTCTTGTGGGTTTGTAGGTACACAGTCATGGCCCACGCCAGGCTGAGAGTACGTACTCACATGTCCTGTGGCCAAGCTGGGCCTGCGCTGGCCTGGTGGTGGCGCATACCTAGCCATTATCGCTGGCAGTTCTTGCTCAATGGCTTCAACTTGGGCGTCCAAGGCTCTTTTCTCGTCAACGCGCATCCCTTCTTGAGCAGGCCGAAAGATTTCCTCTTGAGGCCCAGATGACAGATCCGAAGTGTCGTTGACTTTAGCGGATGCGGGCGCAGCAATCATATCGCGCTCGCGTCGAGGCGGGGTGCGGCATATGTGACGGGAGGCTGCGGGAGTTGGCCAGGCCCGCTGTGGCGCCCGAGCACCCACATGTTATGGAGGCTGCGGGAGTTGGCCGGGGCAGCTGTGGCGCTCGAGCAACGACATGTTATGGGATGGGTTCGGAGAGGTGGCTAGGCCCGCTGTGGCGCTCGAGCTCCCGACTTGGGCACCGCGGTCGTTTTCCCTCCTCCTCCCTCCTCCCTCATCCGCCTCTTCCGTCCTCCCTCCTCGTCCTCCTCCCTCCTCGTCCTCCTCCCTCCTTCCTCCTCCTCCTCCGCGTCCATCCTACCTCTTCCTCCTCCCGCCCTCCTTATGCCTCCCTCACCCTCACTCGTCCTCCTCCTCCTCCTCTTCCCTCCGCCCTCCTCTCCCGCCTCCCTTCAACTTCCCTCCTCCCTCCTCTTCCTCCTTCCTCCGCTCTCCTCCTCCCCTCCTCCTGACTCTTCGTTTGCCCTCCTTCTCCTCTTTCTCGTCTCTCCTCTTCTTCCTCGTCGTCCTCCTCTCCCTCCTCTCCGTCCTTCCTCCCTCATCTTCCTCTTCGCCCGCCCCTGGTTTGTGTTTCCCTACTCGTCCCCGTGTGTTGTGTCTCTCGGTAGGGAAACCCCTCTCCCGTAGAATCATAGCTAGGGTTGCAGGTCCAAGGCTCCGTGGATCCATTTCCCCTTGGGTCCCTTGTAGTAATCAGTATTATAGATTTACTCCAGCAAAAGAATTGGATCCACGAAGCTCCCACGCCAAAACAAATGAATCCAGAAGACACGGAAATTGGATCCACGTGACTCTCGCACACACGTAATTGGATCCAAATGGATCCATGCGTTCCCATGCAAGAGGAAGAACAAATGTTGCACCCCTTCTGCCCTTCAGCACAGGGGCGGTGGATCCATGCGTTCCCATGCAAGAGGAAAAACTGTCGGCCTGGGGATGTATGATCCTGTCGCGGTGCAATGCTTACCAGCCCGTGGACCGACGAGCCTCAATCATGCTTCGCTACTCGGGGTCGGCACTGGGGCAGGCTGGCCTTGATGGCCATCGAACGACGCCATACCCAGAGATCCGATGTCGTAATTTTCTTCAATACGGGGTCCCCAGAAGTCTCGACCCATTCCCCAGGACTGGTTTTTCATCCTGAGTCGTTTTTTGACGGTCCCGGGGCCCAGCGAGGGCCCTCAGAGGCTGAAAATTATACAAAAAAGACCAGGAAAACAAAAACGCACCAAAAAGCTCCGCCTTGCTTTTTTCAATGCGTTGGATCTCTGGGAGGCCTTCCAGCGGATCCAGGGCTCAGCACTTGTCGGTGTGGGTGTCTACTGCAGGCTGGCAGTTACGAAATGCCTTGGGGAGGGGGGTGCGTCACGCAGCAGCGGCCTCTCGGAAATGCTTCATTCATTGAGGCTCCCGGCCCGCTCGTGGTCGCCGTCGTCGCCGTCGTCGTCGTCGTCGTCGCCCTCGTCGTCCTCGTGGTCCTCGTCATCGTCGTCGTCGTTTTCGTCGTCGCCGCCGTCGTCGTCGTCGTCGTCGCAGTCGTCGTCGTCGTCGTCGTCGTCGTCGTCGTCGTCGTCGTCGTCGTCGTCGTCGTCGTCGTCGTCGTCGTCATCGTCGCAGTCGTCGTCGTCGTTGGGATTATTTGACCGCAAATGAGTCTGGCTAAGAAACCACTCATCTGCAGTTGTGGGCACCGTCGTTGTATGTACCGCATTCGGTGGAGGTCCCTATGGGGCTATCAAACGAGTGAGGGGCGTGCCAAAATGGGGGCGGTGGGTGCATGCGAACGCTGGCATGTGGGCCTCCGGTGGAGCTCCCGAGGGGCGTGCCAAAATAGGCGCGGTGGGCGCATGCGAACGCTGGCATTTGGGCTTTCGGTGGAGCTCCCTGTGAGGCCACGAAACTTGTGAGGGGTGTTCCAAAATGGGTGCGGCTGCCGCATGCGAGCGCTTGCATTTGGGCCTTCGGTGGGGCTTCCCATGGGGCCACGAAACGTATGAGGTGCGTGACAGAATGGGTGTCGTGAGCGCATGCGAACGCTGGTATTTGGGCCTTCGGTGGGGCTCCCTAGGGGGTCACGAAACGTATGAGGGGCGTACCAAAAAAGATGCGGTGGGCGCATGCGAACGCTGGCATTTGGGTCTTCGGTGGGGCTCCCTATGGGGCCACGAAACGTGTGAGAGGGGTCAAACTGGGCGCGGTGGGCGCATGCGAACGCCAGCACTTGGGCTTTCGGTAGGACACCCACGAAACGTGTGAGGGGTGTGCCAAAATGGGTGCGGTGGGCGCATGAGAACGCTAGCATTTGGGCCTTCGGTGTGGCTCCATATGAGGCCGCGAAACGTTTGAGGGTCGTGCCAACATGGGTGCGGTGGGCGCATGCGAACGCTGAAACTTGGGCCTTCGTTGGGGCTCCCTATGGGGCCACAAAATGTGTGAGGGGTGTGCCAAAATGGGTGCGGTGGGCTCACGCGAACGCTTGCAGTTGGGCCTTTGGTGGGGCTCCCCGTGGAGCCACGAAACGTGTGAGGTGCGTGCCAAAATGGGCGCGGTGGGCTCATGCGAACGCTGGCGTTTGGGCCTTCGGTGGGGCTCCCAAGGAGATCACGAAAGGTATGAGGGGCGTGCCAAAATGGGTGCGGTGGGCGCATGCGAACGCTGGCGTTTGGGCCTTCGGTGGGGCTCCCTAGGGGGGCCACGAAACGTGTGAGAGGTGTGCCAAAATGGGCGCGGTGGGCGGGAGGAGGAGGAGGAGGCGGAGGAGGTGGAGGACCCTCTCCCCCTCCTACTTATAGTGGTGGCGGTGAAAAAGAGGCCCACCAGTTGAGGCCAGCGTGTGCCACTTTTGGGGGCTGTCTGCGCACGTCCCCAAGGCTTTGCCCAAGGCGGGCAGTCCAAAGAGTGCTGCTGGGGTGGGGAGAGATGGGGGCGCAAGCATGGGCGCAACAGCTCTCAATGCAGTGCCACTGCCGGCACGAGAAATCTGGCGTGCTTCCCCGAGCCGCCTGGATCACACAGAGGGCTCGCAACGGACTGCGCGTGGACCAAACAGGACACAACGTTTCCCCCATATTCTCGTGCAAGCAGTGCCGGCTCGCGTTTCCCAGGCCGGAAGGAGTGCGAGAAGAGGCGGAGGAGGCAGCGGGAGCGGGCGGAAGTGGTGGCACGAACGGGTGAGCTAGAGCAAAGCAGGAGGAGGAGAAGGAGGAGGAGGAGGAGAAGGAGGAGGAGGAGAAGGAAGACGGGGACGAGGATGAGGAGACTCAGGAGGAGGAGGAGGAGGAGGAGGAGGAGGAGGAGCAAAAGGAACGGCGCTGGCTCGTCCGCCGGGTCGGCCACCCCATGCCCAGGATGAGGCCGGGCGGCGCCCCTCGGCCGCCGTGGGCCTTCTAATTAGCCGGTGCCGAGGGGCCGCCGCAGGGACCAGGGCTGGCGATAGGCGGGATTCCCGTGATGAGCCAGGCGGCCGCGGCATAGGCAGGGCACATTTCTATAGGCAGCTCTCAATTGCCAAGTCTGGCAGCCCAACCTTGGGATCCTGGCGGCTCAATCTTTTCGAGCTGGACGTTGTCGCCCAGTCTTTGGCCCTTGGACCCTCACAGATCGGTCCGGCTCGAAGAATGGCGCAGAAAGATGGGGTCCGGGGGCTTCAGTCGCATGAGAACGCTGGCATTTGGACCTTCGGTGGGGCTCACTATGGTGCCACGAAACGTTTGAGGGGTGTGCCAAAATGGGTGCGGTGGGCGAATGCGAACGCTGACACTTGGGCCTTGGGTGGGGCTCCCTATGAGGCCGCGAAGCTTGCGAGGGGTGTGCCAAAATGGGCGCGGTGGGCGCATGCGCACGCTGGCATTTGGGCCTTCGGTGGGGCTCCCTGTGAGACCACGAAACGTGTGAGGGGTGTGCGAAAATGGGTGCGGTGGGCGCATGCGAACGCTGGCTTTTGGGCCTTCAGTGGGGCTCCCTCTGGGGTCACGAAGCGTGTAAGGGGCTTGACAAAGTGAGTGCGGCGGGCGCATGCGAGCGCTGACACTTGGGCCTTTGATGGGGCTCCCTAGGGGTACACGATGCGTGTGAGGGGTGTGCCAAAATGGGTGTGGTGGGCTCATGCGAACGCTTGCAGTGGGGCCTTCGGTGGGGCTCACTATGGTGCCACGAAACGTTTGAGGGGTGTGCCAAAATGGGTGCGGTGGGCGAATGCGAACGCTGACACTTGGGCCTTGGGTGGGGCTCCCTGGGGGGGCACGAAACGTGTGAGGGGTGTGCCGAAATAGGTGCGGTGGGCGCATGCGAACGCTTGCAGTTGGGCCTTCGACGGGGCTCCCCATGGGGCCACGAAACGTGTGAGGGGCGTGCCAAAAAAGATGCGGTGGGCGCATGCGAACGCTTGCAGTTGGGCCTTCGGTGGGGCTCCCTGTGGGGCCACGAAACGTGTGAGGTGTTTCAAAATTGGTGCGGTGGGCGCATGCGAACGCTTGCAGTTGGGCCTGCGGTGGGGCTCCCTATAGGGGCCACGAAACGTGTGAGAGGGGGATACCACAATGGGTGCGGTGGGCGCATGCGAACGCCGGCATTCGGGTCTTCGGTGGGGCTCCCTATGGGGCCACGAAACGTGTGAGGTGTTTCAAAATTGGTGCGGTGGGCGCATGCGAACGCTGGCATTTGGGTCTTCGGTGGGGCTCCCTATGGGACCACGAAGCGTGTGAGGGGTGTGCCCAAACGGGTGATGACGATGACGATGATGATGATGATGATGATGATGATGATGATGATGATGATGATGATGATGATGATGATGATGATGATGATGGAGGAGGAGGAGGGATTGGGCAGCGGAAGGATGAGGAGTGAACGCGGGGACCGTTTCTTCAAAACGAGGACCCAACACCACAGGATGGTTGGGAAAAAACGCCGACTCCCATAACTGGTTCGTTGGCCACAGCAGTCCTGGGCGTTCACTGCACAGCCGTTGTCCTGGTCGATTCCTTGAGCAGGTGCGCTTGCGAGATGGTTTCGCTTGTCGGGGTCCGTCTAGCGAGGGTGTTTGTTTCTGCCCTCTGATCTTCCCCAGCGGCAGAGAAGCGTGTTTTTTTGATCGCCATCCTACATTCGACAGCCCGCCGCCTGGGTGGGGGAGCTGTGGCTGAGGCCATGCACCAGTACATGCAGCAGATGGCCATACAGCAGCAGCTGGCGATGCAGCAGCAGCTGGCGCGCAAGGGGGGGCCAGGCGTCCGCCCTGGCGCCCGCAGGCTATAGCCTGGAAGGGTCGCCCACGACCCGCTTCACTCTGCGATTCGATTCGCCGGCTGTGGCCGCGATTCCTCCTCCTCCTCCTCCTCCTCCTCCTTCTCCTCCTCCTCCTCCTCCTCCTCCTCATCATCCGCCTCCTCCTCCTCCTCCTCCTCCCTCCCCCTCCTCCTCCTCCTCCTCCTCCTCCTCCTCCTCCTCCCTCCTCCTCCTCCCTCCTCCTCCTCCTCCTCCCTCCTCCCTCCTCCTCCCTCCTCCTCCTCCCTCCTCCCTCCTCCTCCCTCCTCCCTCCTCCTCCTCCTCCTCCTCCTCCTCCTCCTCCGCCTCCCCCTCCTCTCCTCCTTCGCCTCCATCCGATTCGGTTCGATTCACCCGCATCTGCAGGGGTCAGCCAGAGCGAGGCGCGGCGGTCCGCTTTCGACTTGTTCTGGGGCGCTTAGAACTGGCGATATGATGCGATATCCGCTTCCGGTTTCGAACCCACCAAGGTCTGCCAGCAGGCTTGGACGGTGCGGTCATGTCTGATTGCGTCTACTTCCACTCTTCTCCTCTTCCTTGCCCCCCTCCCTTTCCTCCTGCTCCCTGCCTGCTGTCTCCGCCCGGCCCCCCTTCCGCCTGCCCGCCCGCCCCGCCGGCCCCGGCGTCCCGCCTGCGCCTTCGGCGTCCTCTGCTTGCTTCTCCCCTCCTCCTCCCCCCTTCGCCAGGCAGCAACGCCTGCCAGGCAGCAAAGCCTGCCTGGAGCGCTGCCGATGGCCCAGGGTCAGGGGCAACGATAGAGGGGGATAGGCATAGGGGGGAATGCATCGACCCCCAATCGCCCATTGATCGCCGATAGGGACCCGATAGCCCCAACCTGCCCAGGAAGGCGCGGATTCACTATCGGGGGCCTATCGCCGATCTATCGGCGATGTATCGCCGATTACAGGTAGATGCATCCCCCCCCTATGCCAGCCCCCGCCCTTACTAAACGACTTCGCGTGTCGGGGTGGTTATAGTAGGGGGGGATTTTTTGGCTTCTGTGGTACTCCTGTTCCCCCTTCTCCTTCTCGTGCGCCTCCTCGCCACCCCTCCCCATGTTCACTCTTTTGTCCAACTCGGCGGTCCAATTTGGAGAGGCCAGCGATGCGGCCCGATCCTCCGACCCCACCTGCTCCGACCCCATCCAGGAGGTCTTTGGCATTGCGAGCTCCCTGGGAAGCTCCACGAGGCGACTCCGAAGCACAACCATCTGCTTGCATGCGGCGCCGCTCTGCCGGGCCTCCCATGAACTCACGAAGTAGCGACTCTTGCGCACGTGGCAGCGTCCGGGGAAGGGGATGTCCAGTACTTCGGATCTGTCGCACACCGCTGGCTGGAACTCCCAGGAGGCTCCCTCAAGCGTCGACAGCTGCGTAGTTGGCAGGCTCCAGGGAGGGGAGAGATGGTTCGCGTAGGACCGCACTCCGCTGGACCTGCCAGGAGCTTCCGAAAGTGCGGGACAGTTGTCAGTTGGCAGCGCCCTGGGATGTCAGTTGGTAGCGTCCTGGGAAGAAATATTGTCTCGGATCTGCCGAGGACTCCACTACTCCGCTGGACCTCCGGGGTGCGGACACTTTCGCGGCTGGCAGCGCCAAGGGAGGGGAGTCATAGTATGAATCTCCGTGGGACCCGTGGGACTCAGCTCCGCTGGGACCTCCTGGCAGCTCCCGCCTGGTCCCTTGCCTCACTTCGCTCGGTCCTGTTTCCACTGGCTGATTGGCCACGGGCGCACCACCCGCGCACATTCGAGTGCGGGCGGGAGGGGGAAAGGCAGGCCCTCGGGCGCCGGAGCCGAGGGATGGCTGGCCGCGCGTGGAGTGAGGAGCAGGGGGCCAACGAAGATGTCTGGGGAGCAGGAAGGCAATTACCCGTCGGTCGTTGAAAGTATGCACTCTGGGATCCTCGGATTCCAATCTACTTTTAGCGCCGTCCTGCTTCATTGATCGAGTGGGTTGCCCTTTTCCTCCATCTTTTGGGGGCGGACGGAAGCCCAATCTACTTCCAACGCCTTCCTATTTCATGTTTCTACCTACTTCTGCCGACCGACGGGTACGACAGTTGCACCGTTGGCAGCGCCCAGGTAGGGGACTAATACATCGCCGTGCCTAAATTTTTGTGACCTTTTGTCCGTGCTCCCGAAGTCATATGTTGTTCACAGACACGAGCTCACCGCGCGACGGCAGCCCTGAGGTGGACGAGGGCACGGGATGCATTGAACGCCCCTGCCCCCCTGGAAGCCTAGCAAGACACTTCTCGTGCGCGGTCTGGCCGTGATCCCGCTCCTCTGATGCATTCGAACAACATAGTTCTGGTTCAGGTCAGAAATGATCCGACCCATAAACAATGCGGTTGCCATAGATCTCGGGCGGGATGCAAGGCCCGCAGTTTGCCTCAAGGGGTGCCGAGGGGCAGATGCCGCGACGCAGATGAACGGCGGCCCCCCCGCCCCCCCATCCCTTCTAAGGACTTGGGCCAGGAGTCTCTCCTGTGGGCCAGACCCTGGCGCCTCTCCGGGGGGGGGGGGGGGGACGGGGGAGGGGGTTTCCGCCCGAGCATTCCTCCAGAGGCCGATGCCCCTCTCTCCTCGCTTTCGCTCCTGGGGCCCTCGGGCGCCGCGGCTGAATCCGCGCCCCAGAGTCCCGGAGTCCCCGTCAGACTGCGCCCCGGGGCAGGGCCTGGGAGCAGCGGCGTCGGCATAGCCCTTCTCTTGCCCCCCCCTCCACATGTCGGGGGCGGCCAAGAGGGGGGTGAGGACTAGGGGGGGAGGAATATCATGGCGGGGTCAACGATATCTCCCCAGATTTCACGGCGCCTTGTCTGATTTCATTGCGTCATTGCCCCCCCCCCCCTGGGCCGCGCACATGCCGCCAGACATGATTTGTGCCCCCCCTCTTGGTCAGGCGATGCGATCGCGAACATGGGTCAAGGGGGCGTGGATTAGCGACGGGGTCCCGTTTCCATGGGAAATCGTGGATTCCCGCCGCCGAGCGAGGCGGCACCAGCCGCATTTTGGGGGTGCGCCAAATCCAGGGATCGCTCATCCATGTTTGCGCGCCCCCGACTTGGGCGCCCCCCCCCTCTTGGCCGCTCCCGACCGTGCATTTGGGAGCGGCGTGCGGCGGTTGAGCTTAGCTCGGCGCACAGGGGGAGCTGCTGCACCTGCCTGCCCCCCTTGCCCGCGCCGCCTTGCCGCCGCGGCTGGTCGGCAGGGAGACGTGGGGTCAGAGCACCGAGGCAAGGTCCGCTTGGCTGTCGAAAGGAGCTCGAGGTTCCGAAGGTCCTTTATCACGCGATCGCAAACATGGATGAAGGGGGCGTGGATTAGCGACGGGTCCCGTTTCCATGGGAAATCGTGGATTCCCGCCGCCGAACGAGGCGGCACCAGCCGCACTTTGGGGAGGGCACCTCCCCCGATCCATGGATTTGGCGACCGCGGGCCAAATCCATGGATCGCTAATCCATGTTTGCGCGCCCCCGACTTCACAGGGTCTTTCCTTGGAGCGTCTTTGGCACCCGGGTGCAGCCAGGTCCACATGTTCCTGTTTTGCACAGTGTTGTGTGCGCGCTGCCATGTGTAGTATGGCAGGCACGGAGCGAGTAGATCATCACAACGTGCGCGCGTCTTCGGAATGTCTATCAATAAGTGTGTCGAGGCGGGATGGCCTTGGGACGTTCCGTCGAAAGCCATTGCATCACCTGCGATAGTATGAGAGAGAGGGACCTTACATGTCTGGAGTGAGCGGACCCCTCTTGTGCAAGCTATGATCAACTGGCGAAACGCCGCTACACCCATTCAGCGCACGGGGCGCTGGCGAGGCGCCAGCGGGCGGACACCCACGGAGCACCGGGCGAAACCCCGCGACACCCATCCGATTACCTGGGCAGCGCATGCAGTTGTAACCCATGGAGTGTGAGCATCCTGTGGGGGAGAAAGCTAAGCGAGAACCTCTTAGTGGAAGCACCGCTTAGGTAACGTAGGCGTCCAGGACACTGCCGTTCAGACGTGCGCACTGCATCGCGCAGACTCCCGAGACACGCCATCTACATTCAGCTTCGCGTGTGCAGGAGTTCGTTTGCGAGAAATGGCACGCATCGAATGCCTTCGGTGTCCACGCAGCCACGCTGGACGCACTGCCCACCCAAAGGAAGGCATATGCGTCCGTGCCACCTCCTCCGCCTCTCTACGACCGCCTCCACCTCTCTCCTCCCCCCTCCCCCCTCCTCCCTTTCTCATCCCTTCCTCCCCTCTTCCTTCCCCCCCACCCCGCCTCCCTTCCTCCCCATCCTCCCTATTCTCCCCACCCCGCCCCTCCCTCAATCTGCTTGTGGGCACGGTGGCGTCAGCTCTCTCGGCGGTGGCCCAGGTCACCCTCGCTCGTAGTGTGACCTATGCTTAGAGTCCTTCGCCTGGAACCCCCCTCTCCTTGAACCTCGACCCTGCTCCTCCAGCTCCCCCTGCTCCTCCCCACCATGAGCGGGCATGTGTTGAATCACGTGAGCGGGATACTTCATGGGCTGCCTTGCAGAGGTGAATAAAAGTTCTTTCTTGTCGAATAGAAGGGGATAGAAGTTCTTCCTTGTCGAGGCTACGGCTTCCACGCAATGGGCTTCACGGGCTTGACATGAATACAAGGTCTTTCTTGTCGAGGCGACGGCCTCCTCGCCATGCCCTAATAATGGGCACGGGCGAGCTCCCCAGATGTAACACGCACGACTCGGGCGCTCGCTTCGCTTATGGCTTCGTTTCTCCTCCCTCCAGCTCCCCCGTCTGCGGTTCCGAGGGGAAAGAGGGCGCGGGCGCGCGGGCATCTCTCTCTCCTCTCCTTTCCTCTGCTCTTCTCTGCTCTCCTTTCCTCTCCTCTCCTCCTCCTCCTCCTCCTCCTCCTCCTCCTCCTCCTCATCCTCATCCTGCTCCTTCTGCTCCTTCTCCTCCTCCTCCTCCTCCTCCTCCCCTTCTCCTCCTCCTCGTCCTCCTCCTCCTCCTCCTCCTCCTCCTCCTCCTCCACTTCCTCCTCCCGACGGCGGCGGGGGTGGCGGGACGACTACGACGACGGCGACGAGGACGACAACGACGACGACGGCGACGACGACGGCGGCGACGACGGCGGCGACGATGATCACGACGGCTGCGGGGGGGGGGCGGTTGCGGCGGGCGCGGGGGCAAAACAAAAACAGCAAAAGCCCGCCGCGGCAGATGGCGCAGATGGGGCAGGCGCTGCCAGGCCACCCCTTGCCGGGGATGGAGGGAAGGAACGGAGGATGACACCGGCCATCTAGGATCCATGTTTTCCATTTGTTTTCATTGCTCTTCTTCGGTTTCTGGATAGCTTCTCTTCGGTAGCTAATCATGGGAGCTTGGTATACCTTCTTAATTCCGCCTTAAGTGTCGACTAGCGTCTAACAGTCGGTGAGGTAGCGCTGATTTAGCGTCGGCTAGCGTTGATTAGCGTCGATTTAGCGTCGATTAGCGCCGATGTAGCGCCGACTAGCGTCTTTTCGCAAGAGTCAACAAGACGGTATGGGAGGCCCCTGTGAGTTGCCACAGAAGCTTCTCGTCGCCGCGGCTGGATTTCGCTGGGCATCCCGGCCAGAACGAGCCCCAGGGGAGGCCCGGGGGCCGACTTCGAGCCCCGAAGCGCAGGCCACTGGCGACAGACCTGCCCTGCGCTGGTGGCTTTTGGCAAGACATTCGGCGACCTGGCCGTCGTTTCTGCCCTGGGGCCGGCAAGGCATTACTCCGGCAGAAGAGTCGGTCGCATGGGAGGGGTCGCGTGGCCGGGAGCTGGCGACTCGAGAGAGTTGGGTCGTTGGTTGTCTGCGGAAGGAGATTCGGAGACCCCAGGCAATTGTTCTGTCCCCAGGTCCCGAGTTTCTTCCCTAAACACAAAGTGCGCAGCAAGAGCTGGAGACTCTGGGACATAGCCCCGGGGGTATCCAGACACACCTGATCGAGGATAGACGCCGACGAGTCGCATATCTTTGAGATGTGCCCAGTTTCTTTTAATAGCCCAGTCCACAGACCCACAAGGAGTCGGGGATTGTGGTCGCCATGCCGCATGCCACCCGGTACAGGAAGTGGAGGAGGAGGAGGAGGAGGAGGAGGAGGAGGAGGAGGAGGAGGAGGAGAGAGGAGAGGAGAGGAGAGGAGAGGAGAGGAGGAGGAGGAGAAGGAGAAGGAGAAGGAGAAGGAGAAGGAGAAGGAGAAGGAGAAGAGAAGGAAAAGGAGCAGGAGAAGGAGGAGGAGGAGAAGGAGAAGGAGATGGAGAAGGAGAAGGATAATGATACTTATAAGGAGAAGGAGAAGCATAAGCATAATCAGAAGCAGAAGCAGAAGGAGAAGCAGAAGGAGAATAAGCAGGAGCAGGAAAAGGAGAAAGAGCAGGAGAAAGAGACGGAGCAGGTGCACTGTTCTGTTTGTCCGCCTTCCTCTTTCCTTGCGTCATCGATGCGCTAGAAACGTCAGCGAACCCAAGCGGCGTTAGTTTGCGAGTGACTGCGTGAGTGAGGGGGAAGGAGGAGGAGGAGAAGGAGGAGGAGGAGGAAGAGGAGGAGGAGGTGGAGGAGAAGGAGGAGGAGGAGGAGGAGGAGGAGGAGAAGGAGAAGGAGAAGAGAAGGAAAAGGAGCAGGAGAAGGAGGAGGAGGAGGAAAGGGAAAAGCATAATCAGGATGGAGGGGGAAAGCAGGGGAGGAGGGAGGGAGGGTAGGGGGGGGGGAATAAGGACTTCCTGCGCGCCCACAAGGGTGCGGGGCGATGTGGACGGGGCGAATCGGGCGGACGAAGTGGGCGAAGTGGACGGCGAAGCCCAGCGGCCTTGTGCAGGGTGGATTTGTAGTTTGGGGATCCGCTGTGAATCATCCGAAGACGCCCCAAGGCGGGGAGGACGAGGAGATAAGACTTAGGGCCGGGCCTAAAGTGCGATCCGACTAGGCCGCGGCTTAGCCTCACGTTGTTCCCAATGCGCCATCCCCTGGAAGCTTCGACACTGTCCCCTGGGCCAGCGTTTTACCCAGAGTCATGTTCAGACGGGCTCGAGGGCGCAACTGGCCTCCAGGGGTCGAACGCGACGAGAGAAACCTGCGCCTTCTCTTTTGTTCATCGGGCGGGGCTAGGACAAGGAATAAACCGTTCCAGAGCGTTCCGGCACGCTCTGAGAAGGCCGCGGTGTCCGACACATCCTCCACAACCGCCGGGTCTCAGAGATCCCCGGCTTACCCCTGTCCGATGTTATCCTTGTCCTGGCTTTGTCTTGGTTCAAGGCGTCGGATGCTGAGGGGATGATCGAAGAAGAAAAAACGCCATCAACAGAAACATTTGGCGCTCCGCGCGGATTTCCTCGATCTGCGCTGGGACCCCCCCTCGGTGGCTCTGGCGCCGCCCCTGGCGCGTTCCGCGCGCCAGGGAGGGGGGTCCAGCGCAGGTCCAAGAAGTCCGCGCTGACTGTCGAAGGTTTATGTTTATGTCGTTTTTTTTTTTCTCTCTCTCTCTCTCTCTCTCTAGCTGAGCCCTCCCCGGCGCGCCCCCGAGGCACGCAACCGGCGGAGCAGGCGGACTCGGCGTCGCCGGCAGGGGAGGTCGGGCAGCTGTCCGCCGCGGGGCTGCCGCCGGTGCAGGCGGCACTGCCAGGCCCGCTGGCCTCGCGCGTTCCGCCGCGCGCGTTTTCGCCTCCGCGAGCGCGGCTGGATCCGCGCTCGCTTCGCGCATTTGCGTAGTTTGCAAAGCATGCGCACCCACACGTTCTTTATTCTTATGTGGATCTGTAGGTGTACTGATATATGAGGTTGCCCCCACAAAGATCATGCATCTCATCCTGAATCATATTCATCCTCCTGCCCCTCTCACTCATCTTCACCATCGCTATCTATCTACATTGCTTCTGCGCGCGATCATTCTCCTCATTCATTATTCTCCCTCTCGTCTTCAACCTTTCTCTCCTTGCGCTGAACCCTTCGGGGCTCCTGCCACTGGCGGTGAGTCCTTCGGAGCTCGTGCCAGGGAAGCTTCGCGCGCAGAACCCTCCGGGGCTCGCGCTCCTGGCTTCATCGGCGCTGAACTCTTCGAAGCTCGTGCCACTGGCGCTGAACCCTTCGGAACTCGTGCTAGGGAAGCGTCGAGCGCAGAACCCTCCAGGGCTCGTGCTCATAGCTTCATCAGCGATGAACCTTTTTGGACTCGTGCCGCTGGGCGGTTTGAATTTTGGCACCATGCCCTTCTTAGGGTCTCTTCGGACCCCTGGATGCCGAGGTATCCTTGAATCGAGGTTGTTGGGCGGTTCCTCTGGCACGTGCTCCGGCGCGCGTCCACTGGAGGTAGGAGGGAGGAGGAATAGGAGGCGGAGGATGAGTAGGAGGAAGAGGACACCTGGGTGAGTCGACCCTCGGGGTAGCTGGCGGGGATTTCACGGACGCCCTTGCCCCTCCAAGCTATGAGCAGCTTAGTCTTGGCGGCATTCGGAAGCAACCTGTGGGAACAGGCGGCCACATAAATAGCTTCATACATTTTCAGCGCCACATCGTAAAGTATGTTGCTCGAACCAGCAGCAAGCACAACAGATTGGTCGTCCACAAAGGACGAATCACACTGGGCAGCTTCCCAATCTGCCGGGTTTGTAAACTTTGTGGATGGGGTCGGGAACCCACAAGAAGGGTTCAAGAGCTGCTACAATGTTCTCTTGAGCACTCGATGGACGCAGACAAAAACTTGGTCAAATACATCGGTGGCTAAAGTGGAACCCGACCTTGTGCCAGTTTTCGGCTCAACGAAGTTGGGGAGCCCCTCTTACTCTCCAGAAGACCTCGCGAACTAGCTGCAGGAGAGCTGGCATGTGAGAGGACGTTCGAGGAAGGGCATCTCGTCTAACAGTCTGTTGACAGCCTCAATCAGGAGTAGAGGCATGTCGCGATGATCCATGGTTTCCATTTTCATGAAGCTCCTCTTCTTAACCTGGTAGCCTCAGGGCAATTTCCTTGATGGTTGCAAAGAACGCACATTCAACATCAAGGCTGGCAGCTATAGAAGAGGCCCTGTAACGCGCAGTGGCGGACACGGACATACTGAGACCATGGATAATCACATTTGTGCCTTGACTTGCACCCCCCCCCGTATTGCTCTTGCAATGAGAGAAGCACCGAACAAATCCCAGGCAAGTCCCCGACCGTGACGTTGAAATAGCTTGGCGACCGTGCCTGGCATGAGAATGTTTCTCTGAGCAGTGGCCAACATGGCCGAGCCACTTCCCTTGAAGGAGAATGCCGCGTCACTGAGTTTGCAGCCTGATGGCTCCTGCTCTGCGAGCACCATCTTGCAAAACAGGTGGCAAATCATTTGGGCCATCTGCTTCGGCCCTGCTAAGAGCAATTTCGTGGAAACTTTGTCGACTCCAGGGACCTTGCCCTTCTGCGAAGCTGAATGAGGTGCTCAACGTCAACGCACGAGGGTCGACAAGTGCTGTCCCTGTCGAGCGTAGAGTCCCCACAGCAGTGAGACACTGTTGAATCCTGAAGCCAGCTGGGTGACTGAGTGCTCCTGGTTATCTTCTACTTTCCTGGACGTGTCTGGAATGTGCTGGGTAACTTGTTCAAGCGTTTCGAGAACACGGGGTTGGGTGCCCAGGGGCCGCAGCGTTTTTTTATATAACAAATGGTTCCTAGAACCACAAAGAGATGTCCACGGCCGGCCGTTTCCATGATCCATGCATGTTGCTTTCGGCAACCCGCCAGCCTGCCTGATAAAGCGGTCCGTGGCGATCTCGCGCAAGACGGGTGGCGGCTGCATGTGTTAGAGAATACGTGCATGACGCCTGGATATCCATTCGTATCCGGCAGGGTTGGGTGCTTCCCATGGTGGAAAGGGGGCAACTAACTACTAAACGCGGGGCGGGTGGCTCCCTGGGTGCAAGTACGTGCCATGAATTATCCATGGGGCCGAAAGGCTCCTTTGGCATTGGGAAGCACACGACAGGACATATGAGATATTCCTTCTAAGTTAAAGATTCATAAAGGCAGGCGGAGTGAGGATGCGTGTCGTTTACCCTGGGTCCTCCATGTAAGGCAAGACGTCTTGTCCTGATGCCTGCCCTTGCTTGCCCCCACGGGTGAGAAGCTGTTTGCCTCCCGCCAGTCGTCGCTGGGCATGCGGCCGTCGGCAGAGACTCTGATGTTCTGCGCAATGGTTTCAAGGCTGCTCGCGCGATCTGACTTCAGAAGTTCCGTCAGCAGAGACCTCGACTTGCTCAGGAAATCCGTCAAAACACAAGGCAACCTAGCTGCCTGCGGGTCGCGCTGTGCAACGACGGTTCGTGGGAGAGCCAGGGCTTTCCCACAGGGGTGAAAGAATTCTCGTCTCGTAAGCCTATCTCACATCCCCTGAAAGAAATCGCCCGCAAAGTTGTGCAAAGGACGCAGGGGGCCGATCCGTGCAACGTAGCCCCTTGCGAAGAGCAGGGGCAGCAGCTCTTCGCCACATAATGAGATCGAGACCGGGACGTACTCCCTGTCGTTGTTGATCATAACATGTTAGGGGTTTTGTTCAACAGCTCGGGGGCTATGGCGCTGGAAGTTGCGACGAGGATTGCTAGAGCCCAAGGAGCAGCTAGGCCAATCAGGAAGGTTGCAGTCCCAAGGCCGCACCTGAGCGACAAGGCTAAGGTTTTCTATGTTGGCATTTTTTCTATGGCAGCGGTCGCCACATGGCCCAGGACCAATGTTGCTCTACAGCGACAGCCTTCTACGGCACACGTTGGTCTTTGTAGGATGGCTTTCAGGTGGTCGACGACCAATAACGAAGAGATGAAAATCTCAGGGGCCGAAGCTCTACTGCGCGCGGACCGCCTCCAGGGCCAGTTTGCCATGACCATCGCGCGGCTACGGTATCTGGGCAGACTTCTTCGCAGCACCCTCCCCCGGTTAGAGCAAGGGCAGATTTGACCTGGTCAGCGCCAGACAGCTGGGGCAAGCTGGTCGAGGAAGACCTCGTTCGGCCAAAGCCGTTCACAGACCCCGCCCGGCGTCTGGCGAGGCCGGGGTTCACTGGACTTGCCCACGCAGGTCAGAGCGTCGCCGCAGGTCGTGAAGCATGTTGCAGCGACAGCCAGCCGCAATGCCAAGCCCTATGGCCGAGACGGGATGAAGAGAGATACACGGTCCAGAGAGAAATACCTCACGATTTGACCAAGGTCGCTCAAAGCCTACGGGCTGGGAAGCTTTTCGTCTTCTCTCTGACTGAAGCCGACCTTCCCCCCTGCCCCCACTCGCCCCCCCCCACCCTCCGACCGTAATACCCCCTCCAAGCCCGTCCGTTCCACAATCTTTTGTCGCGCCATCTACTCGCGGGCTGCCACGGGCGGCCTTCGGGGCTTGCGTACCCCTCACCAGAAACAGAGCCAGAGAGAGAGAGAGAGATCATCCGAGAACATACTGAAAGACATTCCGCTCGACCCCCGACAAGTGCTCGATCACCCAGAATTCTTGTGTTGTTCGCGTGGGCACGAAGCTGTTTCGGCCAGGCTCCTGAGGACACGCCAGATCAAGTCCCTTGTGTCGCCTGACTCTCCCTCTGCGCTGGTCCCAGAAACCTGCTGCTCGACTTGCGTCGAGTATCTGCTTGATCTGCGCCGAGGCTTTCGAGCAGATCCCCAGGCTGATCAGGTACTTGCGCAACGCCTCCTCTTGCCGCCGTGCTAGGGGTGCTTCATGTTTTCGCCTTGCGACAGGTAAAGAGAGCGGCCAAGGGCGAGGCCAAGCAATTCTCTTCTCGGTGCCGCCCTCCTCCGGCGGGCACCGAGGGGGGGGGCAAGGAGAGCCAGCTTGGCTGAGCTGGCCCCGCCGCCGAGGCGGCACGACTCGCCGTCCCAGAGGAATTCAGAGGACCCTGGAGGCCCCGCCCTCCTCCTCCAAGAGAGCAGCAGTCAAGGGCGAGGCCTGCTTCTCATGGGGCGAAGGGCCTCCGTGAGGCGCAGGCGGCGGGCGGGCCCCCCATCGGCAACGCCGCGGGCCACCGGTGGCCTACAGGGTCCGCATCTCGAGGAAGCAGGCGCTCGCAAAGCGAGCGCCAGCTCCGCCTGTTTTGCCCCCCCACGCGCGCCTGCTCAGGCCCCCATCTGGTCGCCCCTCCCCCTGGTTAGCTTGACATCGCTCGGACGTGTGTAGTTTTTCTGCGGCGAGGACCATCGACGAGGAGCATCCTAGATCATCTGGCAAAGAAAAGACACACACGCGCGAAACGGAAAAGTACACGGGGCAAGGACGTCCGAGCGACGGCAAGTTGGTCGCCCCTCCCCCTATTCAGAAGAACCCACATGTTTGTTTTACATGTTGTTATTTGGATTCGGACGGAGGATTTCCAGTGGCACCTAGAAGTGGCTCTCGAGGAGCTTTCGATGACTACCCACGTCATCAGCACTGATGTTGCTTGTGGCCCCAGCTGGGGCGACCTGACCGACCCCGACACGGCTGCTCTTTTGATGTTTCTGTTGAAGTCGGGGAGGGCGCCTGCAATCTTGGCGGCCCCCCTCCTGCGACAGTTGGTCTGCTGCGCGGCGCATCCATGCTCCTGAGTCTCAGAGGCCGCCCAGGCCACTCCGCTCCACGGAATGCCCTTGAGGATTGGGACATGTCAGCCCCCGTGAGCGCTCTCAGCTTGATCTCGGGAATCAGCTGCTGCGCGCCACCATCAGCTCCCTACAGCCAGCGTGGAAATCTGGGGTACCAGCCCTCATGGAACATCCGCCCCTTGCACCCCGAGGGAAAAGTACCCAGCCTTGGGAACCTCCCCAGCCTCAGGAGGCTTGCTGCGCAGCAGCACGCTCGAGCGCATGTGATCAATCGATGTCTGTTGGGTGGGGGGGCCAGCTATCAAGCCTACCGCGCTCTTTGCTGCCCACCTTCCCGCCCTCCATCAATGGCTCGACGGCATGCTGGGAAAGGGACTTTGCGAAGGGGTCACAGGCGCAGATCTTTCCGCTGGCCAAGCGCTGCCCGAGTGGCCTCTGCAGTGGCTTTGCGAGGACCATGCTGGATTCCATTGCTCCCGCTTTCCCCACCTTTGCCCGAGCAGTAGTGGTTCCTGCCCTATCGACCCTCCGGCTGTCCTCGACCACTGGCCTGCCTCTTCTGAGCGGGCGCTGCGTCGCCCGCTGGCACTAGGTGCTACGGGCGACGGTCGGGAAGCCCCAGAGGGTAGCAGACCAGATCACGCCCCATTGGACCCATGCAGTGCAGGCTGTACTGCTATGGACTGCATGATTCGTGAACCACGCATGCAGAAGAAGGGCGTGTGAAGGATTCCTTCTCGTGGTGGTGCTTGCACTGCTGCCCTCTTCTGTGCCCGCCCCCTCTGACCACAGGGCTCGGCGCATGTAGAGCAACTCCAAAGGAAGGAGCCTGTTGCTGAATGCGTGCTATGCTCAAGGGGCCCGTCAGTGCACACCCACTTTGAAAAAGGTAGCACGCTACAGGTGCGCTCCGCTGGATGGCGGGCGCTTTTGTCTCAGGTTGTCTCGCTTTTTTCTAGTCCGCCCCTTCTCATCTTTCCCATGTCCGTCGGCTTGCGCCCTACATCCCTCCTCGAAATCCAACGCAAGTGCTTCCCGCGGCATGGCGACGCCCCCCCTGGGCCCCCAAGTTCGCGGTTGACGGCGATGCTGGCGACCGCAGTGTTCTTGGCGGCCCCGCGGGCCGCGCTGCGCGCGTCCATCCAAATCCCAATTCGGGGGCGAGGGGGCGATGGGGGCAGGATGCAAGTTTGCGCTTGCTCTCGAGGGAGGCTGTGCGCAGTACCCCGTTTGCTGCTGAGTTCTGCGGGGGGCGGCCCTGGCTGCAGCGCCTGCGCCTCCTGGCGCTGGCGGGAGCCGCCCGCCGCCCTGCGCCGCCGCCTCTGCTGCCATCGTTTTCCTTTCTCTGCCCTTTCTCTGCCCCACCTGTGGCCAGGCTTCGACTCCTCCTTCTTTCGAACGGCCGACCGACCCGAGGAGGAGGGGGAGGAGGAGCAGGAGGAGGAGCAGGAGGAGGAGGAGGGAGGGGACTACGCTATTTCATGGGCCTCCCTGCCGGCGTTGGGAGTAATGACGCTTAGGCGTGGGAGGAGGCGGAGAAGGATACAGTGGAGACCCATGCCAAGAAACACCCTGCTTGCCTCCAGGGTGCCCTGAGTTCCTTGGGTTTCGATGGTTTTTCAGTAGAAAGCGTGACGCTCCCACACCAAAAAACAGTGGACGTCTTGGGGTCTCAGGGTTGGGTTTTGGTTGTGGAAGTTTCCTTGTGGACCAGCCTCCACTGCAATGAGGAAGAACCAGGGCGAAATGCCAGATGACACGGAGGAGCCCACAGATGTGGCACGCCCCCCCGGGAGGCCGAAGCTGCGCCGATAGGTCGCACGAGTCACGGGCAGAGGTTGCGCCGATATGTCGCCTGAGTCACGGAGCCAACCCCGTACCTTTAATTGTGCCCCCCCCGTCGCGGAGTCGACCCCAGCGTTTTAGTGCTCTTCCGTCCTCATTTCTCCCTCGCCCGCCCGCTCTCCTTCGCCCGGCCTTCACTCTCCTGCCTCCTCCTCCGCCTCCTGCTGCGGAGTCACCGCAGCCGCCCCTGGCCCAAAAGTTTACCTCGAACAGCAGTTTCTCCCCTATCCCTCCTCCTCCCCCCCCTTCCTTCCTCCCTCCTCCTCCTCCTCCTCCTCCTCCTCCTCCTCCTCCTCCTCCTCCTCCTCCTCCTCCTTCTCCTCCTCCTCCTCCTCCCCCCTTCCTTCCTCCCTTCTCTTTCCCTCCTCCTCCTCCCCTCCTTCCCGCCTTCCGTCTCCCCCCCCTTGTGCTGCCCTCTCTTCTCTGGCCCGCAGGGACAGAAGGGAGAGGGCGGCGGGGCTCTTTGCTCGGGAGCCCGCGAGTAGGAATCTTGGATCAAGGATGTCCGAAGGAGTCCTACGGATCTCCCTGGGGAGTCCAACGGATTTCCTCGGGATCACCTTTGTCATCATCGTCGTCTCCGTGCTCATCATTCGGTTGAGATCTCCGGGAAAACGTTGATTATGCCTCCTGGACCCCGAACTTTATCATCCCCAGGGGATTAGTATCAGGGTCGGTCAGTGATCTGGACGGGAGGGGGGAGGGTTCATGCTGCTTCCGTTCCCCGCCCGTGGGAACGCTTTTTTTGATCGTACTCTTCTCTGTGCGGGGCATGTTCTTGTGCTCCGAGTTTTGTGTTTTCTTGTTCTGTCGTGGTCTCATCTTGAGGGGGGGTGGGGGCGTCGCGTGAGCGAACAGGCAGATCCTGCCCCGCACAAGCAAAAGCATGTTCAACACAAAAACTCACCCCCCGAGTGGGTGGAGGAAACAAGTGAAAATAATCATTCCTTCGCGGAGGCGAGAGGAGGATGAGGAGAAGAAGAAGAGAGAGAGAGAGAGAGAGAGAGAGAAAAAAAGAGCGAGACGATAAGGAGGATGAGGGGAACGAGGAGGAGGAGGAGAAAAAGAGAAGCGAGAGAGAGAGAGAGAGAAAGACTATCAAGAGTCAACAGACAAGTACTGATATTACGTAGATGTGAGATGTATGATTGTTGATCGGTGGCGGGCGGCCACACATATGTGTGTATATATACACGTGCCTGCGTGCGTGCCAGATCTTGGCCGATTTCGGCCAGAGGGATCGGGCCGATTTTGGCCAGATCTGGGTCCCTCTTTTGGGAGCCTGAAGCCATCGTGCTCCGCCCTTTCAGTTCTGCGGGCAACGCCGGCGTCGAATGTGTGTGGCCCCTCGTGCGCATGCAACGCTGAAGACGCCCAGCACGAGGTCAGCGAAGCTGGGCCTGGCGAGGTTCTGCCAAGACAAGGCGATCTAAGCCGATCCAATATGTGAACCACGACGTTCCGTATTAAGCTAGGCACTTCGGTTCAGTTGGGCCACGTTAGAGAATCCGTCACAGGACTTACCATGTGAACCGACACAGGAAACGTTCGACGAAGCCTTACGTCTGGCGGCTCGAACCTCGTGGCGGCCAGTTTCTCGCCACTCTCGTTGTCTGGTGGCCAGCTGCGTGCTTTCGGACCAGTAAGAGTGCCCTGGGAATCCGGCCCCAGGAGGGGTGCCGAGGGTCGGACCCCGAGCTCGAGCACATCGAGACGCCAGCGCCAGCTGGGAAGGGGCACCGCCCCTCGGAACGACTGCTCGCACGCCCATCGAAGGGATCTGCATGCCAGGCCTTGCGTTGGCCACGGAGGTCTTCCGAGACGATGAAGACTTCATAGGACCGTGCGTTCTGTGTATTGGATTTGGCACATCACATATCACATCCGCGCAGCGCAACTTGGCTTGCTCCCGCCAGGGATGCTCCATGCCTTTCCCACGGTGAAGTCTTTTTACAGCCTGGACGGTGTGAACAGCCACGGGTTGTGAAGACCATCAGTTTCTTCCTCCTGCCCCTAAATTTCTCCCCGCTGCCGGCGTGCCAAATTCTGCTCGCGTACAGCGATGCGGCTGCATGAGTTCACCGTGGGAGATCCAGATACTTCACATCCTCAGATGCCTTCGATGAGTTGGCGCACATGTAGGGAAGCCAGTTGGACACGAGTTTGACCGCATCTGCATCTGGCCTCGTCTGCCCTGGCCTGGCCCTGACCTTCCTCCCCCCCCCACGCGCCCACCGAGGCATAGAGTCCGTGACCCAGCCGCAGACGATGCCAGGGGGCCTGGCAGATCCGACGGGCTCGCTGCCGCCGCTGGGGCAGCAGCCGCTGGGCCAGCTGCCGCCGCTGGGGCAGCAGCCCCTGGGCCAGCTGCCGCCGCTGGGGCAGCAGCCGCTGGGCCAGCCGTCGCCGCTGGGGCAGCAGCCGCTGGGCCAGCTGCCGCCGCTGGGGCAGCAGCCCCTGGGCCAGCTGCCGCCGCTGGGGCAGCAGCCCCTGGGCCAGCTGCCGCCGCTGGGGCAGCAGCCCCTGGGCCAGCAGCCCCTCGGCCCGCTGACGCTGAGCCAGCCGTCGCTGGGGCAGCAGGCCCCCGGGCAGGCCCCGGCAGCCCCGCGCAGCACCCGCGGGGGGGGGGAGGGGCGTGCTGGCCTGCCCCCTCGTCTCCGCTGCGCCCCTTCCCCGAGAACAAGCCACCCAGACCCCCGACCATTGGCGTTCACTGGACGGCCCTGGGCGTTTTTACGTTTTTACCAGACAGCCCTGCCTTGTTCGATTCCTTCCCTGGGTGCGTTTACTAAACGGCTTCGCTGGTCGAGGTGATTATTATGGGGGGATTTTCTGCCCTTTACTTCCCCCCCCCGCGTTGTTTGCTTGTTCTCCGCCTGCCCAGTGCTACTGCGATCCCACCCCTCCCACGACCGCCCTCTCGAGAGACGCCTGGTCGAAGAATAATGTTAGTAATAAGAGGAACAATAAGACTAATCATAAGAAGAAGAAGGCGAATAAGGCCTGGATCATAACACAAGCTCTCAGAGGTACGCTCGGATCTCTTGGATCGGCTCGTTGCCCCCCAGGCGCCGCCTCTGGCGCGCTCTCCGCGGAGGGCCCGTGCCTCTGTTCCCGATCTGTTGCTTTCTTACTTTTCCGTCTTTGAATCGCATTTCCAGCAAGGGAGGATTTGCCTCGTAGGAACTGGGCGCCAGTTCTGGTTGTTCTGCTCGTTGCCACCCCGCCGTCGTTGTCCAGTGGACCGTTTCCTGTTCGTTGCAGTATATCACATGGTTCTGAATTATGTTGCAACGCACTTCGTCGCGTTGCGTGTGTTTTCGGCACATTGGTTTGGTTTGTCTACGATGCAGTGTTTTGTGTATCTCTGCGCTGGTTTACATGCCTTTGTGCTGCTGTGTACTGCGCAGCACTGCGGTTTCTCTCTTTGCATTGCGCCGCACTGGATGCACTAAATCATTGTTTAGGATCTATGACGTTATCACTACGCTGGTCTTCCTCCTCGTGTTTCCCCCGTCTTCCTCGTCGGAGGCGGCATCTCTTCCCTCTCCCCCCCCCCCTACTAGCCTTCTTCGCCGACTCCTGCTTCTTGCTCTCTACAGGAGAAGGCTATTAGGAGAGGGCGGAAGGGCGGATGGGGTTGTGAAAACAGGAGGAGGAAGATCAGAGTGAGGGGACCGAACGGTTTTATTTCGTCCCTGAGTGCGTGACTGAAGTGGGATTGTGCGGCACGGATTCTTCTTGCTGTTTGTGGGTATCGTCGTCGTCGCCCGCGACCCGCCCGTCACTCACTCGCGACCCGCCCGCGACCCGCCCGCGACCCACCCGCCACCCACACGTTACCCGCCCGCGACCCACCCGCGACCCGCACGAGACCCACCAAAACTGTTTTGCTGAACAAGATCTGTGTTTGCGGCGGGGTCGTTGTGTAAAGCTTAAAATGTGAAAAAGACTGGCGCTTGCAGCAGGCTCCTTCAGCGCCTGGCAGGCTGCCGACGACCCCGCCGCCCCCTCACTTTTATCCGCAGCTGCGGGCGCAATGGTGTTCTACTCCAGCTCCCCCTCTCCGACATCCCACTCTCTCTTCCCTCCTCTTTCTCTTTCTTGTTCTTATTATCGTTCTCTTTCTCCTCCTCCTCCTCCTCCTCCTCCTCCTCATCCTCCTCATCCTCCTCCCCCTCCCCCTCCCCTCCCTCATCTATTATCCCTGCACCCCTCCTCCCCCACAGTTCCCCCTCCCCTCCCCCCCATCCTCTCCACCCCTCCATCCTCCCCTCCGTCATCCCTCGCTCCCCGCTGCTGCTGCGCTGCACCCCCCCCGCCACTGCACGGCTGCCAGGACGCGGGTCAGATCAAGTTGCCGCCCCAGTGGCTGAGGACCTGCGGACGCCCCTTCGGTCGTCGTCGTCGTCGTCGTCGTCGTCGTCGTCGTCGTTGCGGTCGTCGGCGTCGGCGTCGTCGTCTGTTGCGTCGTCGGCGGTTTCGGCGTATTCGTTGTCGTTAGCGTCTTCGTCACCGTCTGCGGCGGCGTTGGCGGCTTCGGCGCGTTCGTTGTCGTCTGCGGCGGCGGGGTAGGCGTCGGCGGCGTAGGGCGCCAGCGTCGATGCTCTGCGTCGTCGTTGTCGTCGTCGTCGTCGCCGTCGTCGCCGTCGTCGTCGTCGTCGTCGTCGTCGTCCTCGTCGTCGTCCTCGTCGTCGTCGTCATCGTCGTCGTCGTCGTCATCGTCGTCGTCGTCGTCGCCTCGTCGCAGCCTTCGGCATCGTCGTTCTCGGCAGCGCCGCCGCCGCCGCCGCTGTCACCGTCGTCATCGCCCTGTCACCGCTGTCACCGCCACCGCCGTCACCGCCGTCACTAAGGGGCAGGGAGTGGAGGGGGAGGAGGACAAGGCGCAGGGGGGCAGGCCTCCTTGAGTGATCCTGGCCTGGCCTTCTCGTTGGTGTCTTGGAAGCCTCGTTGGGCCCCTTCGGCGCCTCTTGGGCTCTGCTGGGCGCTGTTGGGTGCCTGCTGAGACAGTGCTGGGCCATCTTCGCGGCCTTGGTGGCCTCCCCGTCTCGGGCCGTCTTGCAAGCCTTGGACTGCTTTGGAGGCGGCCCCACCGAGCAACCTTCTTCCCGCTGGCTCGCCACCTCGCTCGCCACCATCAGAGGGCGGACTGCTCGTCGGGCAGTGGCGCCGCCGCCGCCCCGTCTCTCGGAGGGCCTTTCGGCTTCGGGAGGGGCCTTCGGGAGGGCCGTCGGAGCCATCCGCTGGGCCTTCGGGGGGGCCCTCGGGAGGGCCTTCGGAGCTCTCGAGCCTCCGGGGGAGCCTTCGGGGGGGCCCCCGGGATGGCCTCCTCCGGGAGCCCTCCGCTGCGCCTCCGGCAGGGCCTCCCGCCCGCGAGCGCGGCCGCACCCGCAGGGGCCAGGGCGGCGCCACTGGGCAGCCGGACCAGCTGGCCCAGTCGACCGCTGGGGCGCCTGGCGCCGCCCAGCAGACAGATGGCGTGGACCAGCTGCAGCAGCAGCTCCAG